AGCCGAAGGGTAGCAAACTGCTTTCAACAGAGACAAATCCAACTGATAGTCCTCAGTCAAAAAGAAGGCTGGAGTGATACGCTGAGAAGGAGTAGAAGATCCGGAGAAAGGAAGAAAGAACCAGAAGAGTAACAGCTGAGCAAGGCAGGCAGGACAGGGTGATAATGGGCGGGGGCGGGCGCAACATAGGTCAACCAAGGGCTGCATACCTACTATCGTTATGCCACCCTACTATGCTCATTAGACTCATCTGGTTCTTAGGGCTCAAAGAAACAAGTTTCAGAGGCTCACTCTTGCCCACCTATTGAGCCCTGGGCATAAGCACTCTCTCAGCGTCCTTCATTACAGGCCAGCCTACTATCTAACATTTCTTGTACAATATAGAGTTAAGCCTATTAGCACAATTCTACCCCTTGATACACCGTGTGTGTGTGTGTGTGTGTGTGTGTGTGTGTGTGTGTGTGTGTGTTACAAATTACTTAGAACATTTGTTCTCTCTCTTGATGAGAACAAGGCAGGGTTAACTTGAAGTGTACGTACACAATGCAGAGAGTCCCATGAAACAGGCAAGACTTAAGTAGAGGGAAAGCAGATGTCCGAACAGAGCTCACGCCAAAATATACTGATTTGCATTAGTTTTTGATGTGCCACGCACATCTCAGTAGTCCCACTAATAACGCTACTTCTAGCCCCTGATTAAGTTAATGCTTGCAATTTTGTCCCAAAGGGGTTTTTTTTTAAGTCAAAGAATTACATACTATCAAGGAAATTTTTCTCTGAGGTATCCTAAACAAAGTTTCACTTGAGTCAAAAAAAAAAAAAAAATCCTAAAGAAACCATCTCATATGCTTCCTTCCATCCCTTTCTTGCCATAATTCATTTTTAGATTAATGCTTGACTTCAACACATCTGTGACAAAGGACTTCTCTAATTTTTATTCATCCTCCAACACCAGTTGCCACAAATAAGTACCTACTTTATTGAAACACTAAAAATAACTGTGTATCACTCAAGCATTTTACTGAATATTTTCCAAATCTCAAGTACACAGAATATGAAATACTTACAAATTTTACTATATCTACAGTAGTGGTGTGGGGGGGGGGGTGTGCACACACATGCACCCAGGAAGGGAGGGCTGCGTGTGTAAACACGCACCACCCCAGGCGATTCTGTACTAGAGTTTGCGGTTGCCCTCCTAAACCCCCAAATTTTCAAAGAGCTCCCTAGTGCCTGCCTGAAAACCACAGAAATAGTGCATTTCAAACTGCTTCCGATATGCACACCCCTCTGTATAGTATGATCTCCAAAAGAAAATAATCTCGGCCCTTAATTCTGAATTCTAATTCCAGAGAGTTTTGTTGGGCCAAGGTATCTTGTTTTCAAGTTTCCTATGATAAACTATAGTAACCTGACTTTTTTCTTCAGAAGTGAGAAATATAAGTCAATTTCAGTTACATTTTAAAAGATGTTTTATGCAAAAACACAGCATGAATTAAAGAAAACAAAAGTAACTCTCTGCTGCACTGCATTTACTCACAATGTAGTATTTTATTTTGACTATTTTAACAACATAGAGATAATGCTTTCCTTTTCTATATTATGTAAAATATTTTTAAAATGTTTGTTTTCTTTCTTTGAAAGTTAAAATCCCTTAAAATTTTATTAATATAGCACCCAATAAATAAAATATAAAATTTTAATGGAATATAATTTATCCTTAATTTTACATGTGCCCATCTAAAATACACCTATAAAATCCCATAATGAATACTGTAATTCTTTGATTATAAGACACTTTTTATATTTTGATATTTCTAAATTAGATATGGGTTTTATAATCGCTGGCATGTCATACTGGAAGCATTTTAAAAATTCTGAATGGCACCTTAAACCCGGTGCCCTATGTGTTTATAAAAACTGTTCTTTCCAGTTAAAAGAGGTAACCTTTTCTTTTTAAGTGTAACACAACTGCCCCACACCCAAACCAACCCTTAATGTGTAGCTCCATAAACTACAGTCTTTTATATGAGTGAACAATGGTCAATAAACTTAATGAAGCAACTAAATTACCAGGACTAAAGAAACAACTCTGCTAAGAATATAGTAAATAACAAATTTTATCAATTAATTTTTATATAATTTCCAGAGTTTTAAGCAAAACATTTTATACTATTCCATCTTCCTATGCTTTTTAAGTATTTGTCCATCCTATGTATTGATATAAAATTAGAATAAAGGAGCATTGCACCGGTATGCTGCAGATAAAGATGACTTTGCTGTAAAATACGTTCTATCTACAATATAAATGATCAAAGTACAGTACATGCATTTATGTCAAGAACAGAAATCAATGTTTGATAAAATGTCTGCAGACATAAAAAAACCATTTATATATTAACAATTAATGTACAGTAATAATGCAGTCTGCTGATACTATGGGTCATATCACTCTAACAGACCACAAATCAACACACTATGTGATTTAGTGTCTAATGTAGACACTAAACCTGTAGCACTTTAAATCACTTTATTAGAGAGAAGAGGTTAAGGCGCCCCTTGCTTATTTTGAGTTGCCAGCACTCTAGTGACAACACTGTGACCGAAAGCATCAAAAATGTGATAGGTCCTATGTCACACTTATCAAAGTAAGATGGTCAACTCTTCTGTCCATAATTTTTAAAATGAACAGAAACATCAATTTTGAATATTCAGTATGAGAATGATTAAATATCCTTTCAAATATTATACAACAAAACAAGGACAACATGAGAACAAGTACATACAATTTTTTTCAGCTATGTTAGAAGTGTCGCTCATTTCCAAGATAGGTTTCTAGATTCTGTACTGACAACTGACTTGGAAACTCGTACGACCACAATCTTTAAACCAGTGCAACATTTGCATCATATTTTGTTTTCAAGTTTGCACATAAAAGCCCAAAGAGTGATTAAAAAGCCTGGGATTAAAAGTCAGTGAAAAGCCTCACATTCTTTCATATTATCTAATCCAAGTGACTGCCAATAATTTCAATAATGGTAAATGCAACCATAAGAGTTTGAGAGGAATCATAGTCAATATAATTTCCCTGGAAACAAGGTAAATCCTTCCCAGACACTAAAACTGCACCGTTATCACAGTTTTCCCGTTACCCTAAGGAAAAGATCAGAAACCAACTACAGTTATGGAACTAAACTGAATTACCTTAAAAATAAACACCAAACCCCCACTTCCCACTTTTCCAAATAACAAAATAAATAACATACTATTTCTATCAAAACCTGTAAGAAGACTTTATTTTTGCCCAGGAAACTTCAAGTTCTGGCGCTCTCTAGGTCATTAGATAAGGTAAGCAAAAACCTCCCGTTTTGAACATGCATATAATCTTATATAATCTTATGGGGAGAGGAGGAGTTGACAAACCTAACTAAGAATCCTAGATAAATAGAGCAAACGATGAATTGTTGGAAATACACAGGGACCTAAATGACCATTCATAGGACCAAATGAAAGCCATCACTAGAAACTAAAAAAACACCAATGGTTTTATACATATGTGTATATATGTAGAACCCAGAGGAGACACGAACATCAGATAAATGGAAATTAAAACAAAAATAAATAATTAACAGGAAACCAAGACCAGATATTCCTGCTACTCAGTTTACCTTGGAAATAAGTCTGAAGAGTGCTCCCTGGAGCCTAGAAAACACAGGCTGGACACTTGATATAGAAATGAATGTGTTTAAATCCATCACCACCACCACTCAGCATGTGCATGACGATGTTCACTTCAGGCAAGGACCAGCCAAGGCGTTCAGCACTAGGGCGTCCATCTATGCACACCAGTACACGCAGTGTGAAACTAGGCAACGCAAGCATCTGCATGACACGGGGGCCCAAACCCGATCTGGCTTCGTGCTTAATTATACGGAAAAAAAACCCTGCCAAACTGCCAATATATTTATTTACAGGATTTCTTATTTTCCCTTCATAAAGGCTAAGAGCTATAACTGTGAGCAATATCAATTAGCCAAATTTCCCTCTCTCCAGTTTTTAAAAATATTTTATTATCTAAACTATCAACTTCTATTTTTCTCTGTATGTGAATGAAAACAGACATACAGAGAAACAAAAAAAAACAACCCTGTATGACTTACGCAATAAATATACACAGATATTACATACAAACTGAGACTGCATGATTTTTATATTAAAGTACATGCTTTTCCGCCATACAGTTCTTCTTTGTAGTTATTAAGAGTAATAGAAAACCTTTGCAACTAAGCACATGCTGCTATGATTCAGGGTTTAAGAACTTGTAGGTTAAAAAAATACAATTCCTAGAACACTGTTATCAAACAAATAAGTTTTATTGGCATCTAAAAACAAAATTCACCCAACAATGAAACGTACTTTAATGTTTACGTTGTTGTTGTCTTTTTTCTTTATACTCACTGTATATGAGGAACAAATCACAAACACTTACTTTGGAGAAACAGAGACCATAGTGTAGATTTTACAAAATCACTTTTTAAAATCTCTGTATTGTGCTCCTCAAATATCTAGAGCCAGTCTTTGCATAAAATATCACAGCTTGGTCTATTACCTTAAAATTCTGCAGCAGCCTAAAGATATGGATCAGATATACCACGACTCGCTATTCTGAAATATATCTATTACCATATCCAACCTAATGGTAGTATCTAAAAACTCCTTTCTTCCATAGGAAGTCTCTGACAAGCTGTTATTCATTTCCTTGAAGTTAAAAGAATCAGGGGGCAACATTTATACTTTATCAGAAAAATAAAAAATGTTTACCTACCATGTTCATATTAAGAACAATGTCTATACAAGTCAGTTGTACAATTATTTTAAGAGAAAAGTGAACATGAACATCAGATTAACTTAATTCTGGCAGACAAAAGTGAACAACTATGGTCCGGTCAGCCATTAATCTATTACAGAGAGATGACAACTTTACAAAAGGTATCTTTTACCTACTGAGTGATGATTATGTCCCCTCAGTTTCTGTGCTTTCTACCACTGGTTCACTTTCTATATCAGCAACTGTGTCACTCTTCTCCTTGTTTATTTCACTCGAAGATGTCAGTTTCTCATAAAGTTCAGGATCACTCTGTACGGGTAAAGGCGGTGGTTGGGCATGTCTCTCAGCGTTCTCACCATTGACCTGAGGCATGTTATCCCCTTTTCGTTGAGAAGTGGCCCCTTCAAAGAAATCAAAAACCCGAGCTTGAGGCGGGGGGACCCAGGTGTTTTGAATTCTCTCTCTTCCAAGACGACTTCCATTCATCTCTCTGCAGAAATCAAAATCCCTGTCATCCCTATCCCTCTGCCTCTCCCAGTGTCTTCTGCGGTCATCAAAATCTCTGTGCACTTCTTGCCCAAATCCTCTGTTCCAAGGACCACTTCTAGGATCAAAACGATAGTTTCCAGACCGGAATCTACCTCTTTCTTCATGTAAGCCTTTTGGACCAGCGAAGACAGGCAGAACTCGATGCTCTCTCTCATCAAAATCTCTCGGCCCCCACGGTTTCTCTGGATTAAAGCCAAAGTGGTCTCTTCGACCAAGATGATCCATACCTGGCCTCACAAGGTTTTCTCTAATATCGACAGGAGGTCTTCCAAAATGATCCCTACCATCTAGAGGAGGTCTTCCAGGACCTTCTCTTGGATCTATGGGCCGTCCAACCACCTCCCTAACGTCCACCGGGGGAGGTCTGCTCATGCTTTCCCTGGTTTCTATAGGAGGAAACCGGTAATCTCTATCTCCTTCCTGCTGAATGTTATCATTCCCCAGCGGTATCCTTTTCTCTGGATTAGTAATATTGTCTATACTTTGCCTTCCAGGAACTAAAAAAGGTCTTTCTGGCTGACTAAAAATATCTCCTGGAGGAAAAGGACCACGGGGTGGTGGGTGAAGAGCTGAATCAAGTATCGACGGGGGAGGGATTCCTCGCTGGGGCGGAATTCCAGGCTGTAGCAATGGAAATCTTGGTCCGGGCGCCTGTGGTATTAGTCCTGGACGAAGGTCTAACATGGGCATTACAGGCATCCTTTGACTAGAGAGATTTAAAGGGGGTAAGTTTTGAGGCCCAGCTGGTGGCTGTGTTCCTAAAAGTCCAGATGTATTTGGAATATTTGGTGGCTGTACTCCTACAAGTCCAGAATTGTTAGGGATACTGGGGGGTAGCACTCCCAAAAGTCCAGAACTACTCGAAGCACTTGGTGGCTGTATTCCCAAAATTCCAGAGTTATTCAGAATATTTGGTGGCTGGACTCCAATAATCCCAGAACTACTAGAAACGTTAGATGGCCGGACTCCAAGAATTTCAGGATTACTTGATACATTTGGTCTTTGAACTCCAAGAATTCCAGCATTGCTTGTCATACTTGGCGGCTGTCCTAAAATCGCAGGGCTACTTGGAATATCATTTGGAATCACTAAAATGGAAATGGGTGGGGGTGGGGGAGAAAAAAATTATTCTGGTATGAAAAGAAAACTAATGTTATAATTTCCAACAGTTAGCTTAGAATTAATCAGCTATTTGTTTCCCAAGATTCAAAGTATATTAAGAAAAATTAAAGCTAAAATCAATACCACACACAGTGAAATTTAAATATAAAAACATATGTGGGGCTGTTGCCTAAAATTTAACATGATCTTTAAGTTAACGAAAATGCCAGGTTTTATACCGATTCTCCATCTTTAACAAAAGTCTCTCTAAGCCACAATTCTCAACATACTAACTGTGGTGCCATGGAAGAAAAAGGGACTTACTGCTGACAAACCCCACATTTATCTCTAGGCCTGGCTGGATAATGCCCGAAAGCAAGTATGTTATTTACACCTATTGTTTATTTTTACTGTTTTGTAAGTATTCAACAGTTTGTACATCTTATTTTGATAACAACATATTAAAGCAGTCCCAATAGCACAAAAGGAGGGAGAACGGCCTAATGGAAAAGTGTCAAAATCTACACCATTCTGAACAGAACGCCAAATTTGTTTTTAACAGACATTTCACCATGGCTGGTATGGCTCAGCTGGTTGGAGCGCCGTCCCATACACTGAACAGCTGTGGGTTCAGTTCCCAGTCAGGGCACATGTCTAGTTGTAGGTTTAGTTCTCAGCTGGGGCATGTACAAGGGGCAACTGATTAACATTTCTCTCTCACACTGATGTTTCTCTCCCTCTCTCTCCCCCTCCCGACCCCTCTCTCTAACGTCAATAAGCATGTCCTTGGGTGAAGATATTAAAAAAAATCAACATTTCAACATTTGTGCCTTAAACTGGTTACAAATGCATTGCACTTCAGAATGAAAACACCACCATAGAGAAGCAATGCTTATGATTTAACTATTTATTTGTGGGGATTTTTATTTTAGTTTACCTGATCTGGTGTTTTCACCAGAAGAAATCTGGTGGTCTATAAGATGAGGTACTTTTTCTTCAGGCTCTGCTTGTTTAGCAGGATTAAAAACATTTCCAGCTGGCAGAGAGGAAGCAGCAAGATTGCTGGCAACAGGACCACCTGGTAAAACAAGGCTACCAAATCCGACCTCCTTCACAGTTTCTGGGGTCATGGATAATGGCGGCTGCACTAAAGCTGTTTAAAGAGGGAGAGAATATTTTCAGACTTAATTACCTAATAATTCATGTGCCGAGTTAGTACTAACCATGACTAACAATGGCCTTGCCAAAGTTTTAAATGACTTCCTATTCTCTCTCCCCAGTTGTTTGGTTACGACTGCTCAATGAACAGGACACACGGTCCTCACCTACTGTTGTGCATAGGTTCTGTGACTTTAAAATGATGCATAACAAAACCAATTTTACCACAGACTAATTGATATAAACAAGAGGTAAGTTCCCACAACATCACAGAAACATTATAATCAAACAACACTGAATGCAACGACATTATTCAAGGACCTGTTGTATATGAATTCTCTTCTGAAAATTAACTTTCGGTAGCTTGACTGTTTCATCTTATAGTATCTCTATGTCACCCAGCACTTTGTATAACAACTGATGCTCAAAATGATGAATGTATCACCATGAAGAGGGTAAATTTTACTTAGAAAACCTTATTTTAAAATGCAAAAAATTTTTAAAATATTTGCACAAAGATGTTTGTATTTTATACAAAATAAAAAACAAATCCAAAACCCAGTTTTCTAAGGATGCTAGTACATGTATGTATGAACATGCAGAAATGACTTGTACAGACTGACAAATATGTATGAGAATAAAAATCTGCCCAATCCCCTTGAAACCACAATAGACCATGGTCCTTGTATTCGCTACTTTTTGTCAAACAAGGTAAGAACCCATGAGTTGGGAGGGGATAAAGTGGACTAGAAATCCAAAGAATGGGTAGAAAAGCCCCTAAACATATAAATGATACAGAAAAGTCCATATCATTTGTATGTTAAAAAACAGAACTAGAGGAATATAAAATCACAATTAAATATTTAGAATTTTTAGTCCAATTTCTATCACAAACTGTTAAGTCATTTATGTGGGGCTTTGTATGAGCCTCACACTTAACTCTCGATTAGCTAGACGACCTGTTAGCACGTGAGAAAGCTGTAAAGCCGGGCACCACCACCTGGGACCATGTACAGAAATTAGGAGGATAAAATCAGACTACATAAGCAAATAGGAGAGTATCTGGAACACGGTGGCATTTCTCTTTCTCAATTAAATTTATCCCAGATTTTCCAAAATAATTAAGAAAAAATAACTGAGAGGTAGGCTCTAGGACGAGTCTCTATGAATGGTGAACACTTTTCTAATTTTTAGAAAAAATAATTCTTCCTACTTAACCAACAATAACAAAAAAGAATTCTAGACACTACAGGAGAGTAAAGAGTTTAAAAATATAAGGAAAATGGGTATCATCAAAAGGGAAGCTCTCTATCATATACACTCTCCTCACAATAAAGTCCTCTGGGCCAATATGGGGCTAAAAAAACTAAGAAACTCTCAAAAACTGATGCAGTCCTCTCAAAAAGGTACAGAGGCAACAGGAACAGTCTCTCACCAGTCAAGGATGAAATTAAAATGCAAAGAGACAAGTATATGCAACTGCATAATCTATGAACACTAAAGAAAATAAGGAGAAAGAGGTGAAAGGAAAGGAAAAGAGGAAGAGAAATAAGAGAAATTCTCTCCCAGCTCAAGCTGTTGGATATAATCGGAAATACCTTAGAACTCACTCACTACTATCAAAAATGGCATTCACAGGAAAGAATTTACTATCTACCTGTACAACTGTATTTCAAGGTAACTACATACTATTGGTTAATGTGTTTTTTTTTTAGAGAGAGGGAAAGGAAGGGAGAAAGAGAGGGAGAGGAACATCCATTGACTGCCTCTCACACCCCCCAAAGTGGGGACCTGGCCTGCAACCAGGCATGTGCCCTGACTAGGAATCGAACCGTTGACATTTTGGTTTGAAAGCCGCTGGCTCAATCAGCTGAGCACACCAGTCAGGGCAAGTTTTTCTTTATAGAAAAATTCTAGCTAAGAAATATGTAAGGAATTATAAAAATAAAAAAATCACCACTTTGAAACTAATTAAAAGTAGATTTAAGGATAATGATTGATGAATGAAAAAGCATCAGATGCAAATGGGAAGGGAACCATTTTAATCACCACTACCTGAATGCTCTGGTACATCTTACATCATTTCAGGAGAAAAAGAAGGCACTGCATAGCGCCTGATATGATGTAGTATCAGATTTACAGTACTCCACCTTTAAGAATTCTCACCAAAAAAAGCTGAAGTGAAATCAAAGCAAGCCTTTGGTGCTAAAAATTTCCTATTTACAGGAAATTCAAAGAGTTAGAAGAACAGATTCAGTACCACAAAGAAGCAAAAAAAAAAAAAAAAAATCAAATTCATTATTTGAAATCTTGCATATAGAAGTGAACTGTTTCTCCAACAAGTCGAAGATATGAAGAACTAAAAAAAAAAAAAAAGGCTTGGGCCACACTACTCTAAATTAAGGTATTTTACACACACACACACACACACACACACACACACACACACGACGTGGAGGCCCTTCTCTGAATTCTGACTAAAGTAAACCAATAATAAAAAGATATTTTGAGACAAGAGAGTCAATCTGAACATGGATTGGCAAATGATGCTGTTAACATTTTAAAGTAATTTAGCAAAAAAAGAAATGCACGTATGGAAATTTTCATCATAAAAAATGAACAATAATTCACAAAAATGAGAAGCGACACATTAACACTAGCAGGAATTAAGAAAACTCTAGAACCGAGCACTCACGTGTTGGTACCACTGGTGGAATAGTGGGCGGGGGGACAACAGGCGGTGGGACGGGAGGCGGCATGAAACCTACGTTGAAAAAAAGACCACAAACAAAATAACACAGGAAAAGTTCCTTCTTTTAAATCAAAGATTTCAACAGCTCTAAGTGAAATCCTACTTTCCTACAAAGTCATTACTGCAACCTCATATTTGTGAATGTATCTTCCATTTTAAAAAGTACTTTTGCACATACTACCTTATTTGATCTGTAGTAAAGTATAGAGTAAGCTAAGTAATGCATAAAGATCCTCCTCTGAGCAATTCTACTTTTCACCCACTTGTTGAAGTCCTGTGGCACTCTCTGTAATGCCATAAAATTAAAGATTAATATAAGCCAGGCAGCCTGTTTATATGTTAGCATCGTGAATAACTACCTGGGGAGTTAAACGCTACATTTCAAGTTGCTGGTATTACATGCAACATTATCTGTAAAAGATGCTACTGTATGTCTTTGATACATATGATGTTTACCCACTAGATCAGATATTTTCATTAACCTTGGTTGTTATGTTTTCAGCATTAAAATAAATCTTCAATTTAATACTGACTGTTTTGTGATTTTAAATATCAAATGATCAAACTATAAACCTGCTTCCTAGTGTTTTTCAAGTACAGAGCTAACATTAAACCCAATTAGAAAGAGCTGCTGAAAATAAGAAAATAATAAAAATATATGATTTTCAACAACTGAATGCTAGGCAATGACTTCATAAAGTCTACATGGTATGGTGTTTGAAATAATCATTTAAACATCTTCTGAATAAAATTTTTATTTTTAAAATCACGAATACAGAAAATATTTCCCAAGAGTAATTTTCAAGTATGTAAAATATACAGATAAAATTCTAATTAAAATCTGCATCAATTTCAAGTTATATATTAAACTGCAATTTTAAAATTTTATAAGACAAAATTTTAAAAGACAAAACGAAGAGACAAGACAAATTACAACCACTTTCAGACAATGAGTTTACTTTTTGGCCTTGTTAGTATTTTAGGAACTCTATTTAACAGCTAAAAACTTAAATTACAAAAATCAAATTATAGCACCGTGATTCTATAATAGGCAAATAATTCTACATAAGCAATTATTTTTATTTAATTGATGATGTTACATAAACAATAGTTTTTACCTAGAAACACTGATTTAAGCAACTTTTATCAACAATTAGATCAAAAAATGTACTAGGGATTCAATTATCATTTTAAAATAGTATTTCTAGACCTGGCTGGGTGGCTCAGTCAGCTGGAGCAACGTCCTGTGCACCACAAGGCTGCAGGTTTGACCCTGGTCACAGCAGGTAAGGGGGGCAGTCTGACACACGCACACGTGCATGTCTGTATCTATGTATGTATTTCTCTTTCTTTTTCTTTCTCCCCGCTCTTTCCCTCCCCTACTGTCTCTAAAAAAAAAAAAAAAAAAAAACTGAAAACAGTAACCATATCCTCATATGAGGATTAACTTTAAAAAATTTCAACATAAAACTTATACTATTTTAAGAGTATTTCAATAATTTTAAAGGATTCCTTTTCTTCTGTCAATGCTTCTTGAAGTATGATCCTCCAGCAACCTGCATCACCTGGGGGACTTGTTAGAAATGCAGTGTCTCATCCCCCCTTAGTCACACTGAAGCAAAAGAGGCTGGCCCAGCTATCTGCTTTCCCATACCCTCCAAGTGACTCCAGCATGTGCTCAGGTTTGAAAATCACTGCTCTATAGCATTTTAACCTGGAAAAAGAACCGTTAAATAATATTCTACATAGAGCTCCATTAATAAGACAAAATTTCCTTACCAGGAGGTGGTTGTGAAGGGTTGAAACTTGCTCGTAGAAAAGGAGGTGGAGGGATTGGACTGAAGCCAGGAGGAGGAACCGGCATGGACACAGGGAATGCTGGTGGGACCAAACTAACTGTAGGCACAGCTGGTGCTACGGGAATCTTTGTGGGAGAAAATAAAAAGTCCATAAACCATTTTGTCCACCTGCCATGATTACATCTTTGAATTTCTAAAGGTAAATTATTTCTATTTTTTGTTTACGAAGGTAACAAATACCATTATATTAAGTTGCTTTGCTTTTTCCTTTTTGTATACTTGTAAGTAAGCCTACTTGGAGTAAAAGCAAGGCATTATTATTCAACAGAGTGAAATCTATCTAACATTCAAGTGATGTAAAGTAATGGGCACCTATTTGAACAGTGTATATCAGACTCAATTTTAAATTGCCGCTTTCCACTAAATTTATAACACCTACCCTGTTATGTAACCTACCATCAGGAAACATGTCAATAATAGCTTTAAAATGACTCCAATTTCTCATAAATTTATTTTCTACTGCTAGCATAAAAACTCTGTACCCATCCTAGGAACACTAACGCCCAAATAAATGTTTATCTGCCCTACTGTTGTACCTTTCTTCTAAACTTCCTATTGTATCAACAGTCCATTCAACACCTTAACTTCACCATCTGGAAGACACTTCAAACACACAAAACTAACTCCCAATTGTTCTTCCTGAAAGAACCCTTCCCAAAGACTTTCCCATTTTCAGGTAACAGTAACTCCATCTTTCCCATTTCTCAGACCAAAAGCCTTGCCTCTGCTTTCTCACAACTCAAAAATCTAATCACGCCATGAGGTCCCACTGGTCAGACCTTCAAAACACACCTAACACCCCACCACCTCTCACTCCTCCACTGCTACCAGTTTAGCCTGAGTGGTCGCCGTCCCGCATCTGGATCGCTCCAACTGCCTTTTCGCTGGTCTCCCAGATTTCACCAATGCCCACTAGTCTATTCTCAAAACGGTATCCAGTGAAATCCTTTAAAACTTTATGTCAGGTCAAGGCACTTCTTCCTTCAAATCCTCCATAGGCTTGACATCTCAGAGAGAAAACCAAAGTTCTCCTAGGTCTCCTTCCTAGAGGGCCGCCTCTCACTCACTGTGCTCCAGCCCACGTGCTATTCCCGGAACAGGCTGAGCATGCGCCTGGCCTAGGGCCTCTTCCTGGGATAGCCAAATGGTTAGTTCCCTCCAGAGGAACTTTAAGATGTTGCTCAAATGTCTCATTCTCAATGATCTCCCTTGACCATGTTATTTAAGACTGTATCACCTACCCAGGCTGATCATCCTTATGCTACCTTTTTCCTCCCACAGTATCTCATAACCTTATTTACTTTGTATTTTCTGTCCCCCCTTTTGAGAACAAAAGCTCCAAAAGGACAGGGGTTTGAGTTTGTTTTCCACACTGATTTACCCTAATCTCAGGTGCCTAAAACAGTGTTACAGAGCAGACAATTAGTCATTATCTATTCAATAAATAAATACTTACATACAAATTAGACCATCTATACAATTTTTTTTCTGAAAAAAGTTTGATATAACTCATTTTTATTACATTTTGAACACTTTCCTCCCAGTTTTATAGAGTAAATACATGAGTGAAAACAGAAATATAAACAAAACATTCAACCACAAAACACCCAGCACTAACCTGTAACATAGCAACAGGTGGAGGAAAAACCTCTGCCTGGGTCGTGACCACTGTCTCCTTCTCAACTGGTGGTGGGCTTTGAGTTGTCTGGACGGTCTCTTTAACAGGTTCTGAGCTTTTCACAGTTTCCCACTCTAAACAAAACATTGGGAATTGATTTCCTCTAGACAGGTGCAACTTGTCATCTTACTTGTGTGTATACATTTATTTATTCCATGCTCGTCTAATTTCTTCAACTGCCTGGCACACCTATCTTAAGGTGTGCTCACAACTACAGGTGCCAATCTAGGTTCTGCACATTAAATCTGATTAGGATACTAAGGAGTCCAAAGGGTGACAAGAGCCCAAAATGGAAGATGGTGAAGTATCTGGTCTAGAGAAAACACTTATAAGGAATATAACATATGTATCTCAAAGGCTGTCTGACACAAGAGAAACCAACCTTATTCCATATTTTGCCACAAGGGAAGAGCAACAAATACTAACCAATACAGAGTAATCTTTCTGAATGTACGGCCAGGCAAAAATAGAACAAAGACGCTCTGACGGTTCCCCCAGTGGTCGTCCATCTCCCTCAGACTAAGGAGCAAAGTCATTACACAGCCTGCTAAGACTTCATGTGACTCCTTCATCCCCTCTCTCTCTCAGACCGCATCTCCTACTACACACTCCTCCCTTACTTTGCTCCAGGCCTGCTGGCCTCATGGTTTTTTAAATAGACTTTGCACTTGCTGCAGGAATGTTCTTTCCCCAGGTGGCCACACATCTCATCCTTCAAATACCACCCTCTCCATTAGGCCTTCAATCACTTACACTGAATTATCTCCACACCTAAACTGCCTGCCCCCTTCTCTGATCTATCTCACTAAAACCTGCCAACACAGAAGTACTGTATAGTTTATGTCTTTCATTCATGGTCTTTCTCTCCACTAGAACATGGTTGGCAAACTTTTCCTACACTGAAGAAGTTTAGACTTTGCAGGCCATATGTTCTCTGTTGCGCTCTGTAAATGTTACAGAACAGACTGCTGGCCAGGTCTGGCCTGGAGGCTAGAGGCTGTCAGCGTCTGTACTACAGGGTGCACTACAGCAAAGGGCGTCTGTCTGTCTGCCTCACTCCTATAATCCCAATTCCTAAAATTATGCCTGGCAAAGAGCAGAAATAAAATATTTCTTAATTGAATAAATATTCTGGAGAAACATCGTAAGAAATAAAAAGAGAAAACAACCAAAAAAGTGTCTAAATAAATGTACTAGCCTAAGAACAAAAATATTCTAAAAATTAGCTCATTATGCTAAAAATATGTGAAGAAATAACATAATCATATTTCAATTCTTTTAAGTTTTTTTACTGTTTATAATTAATCATCATTTTTAAGTGAAATTTTTTAAGTAAAGGACAAGTTTTAAAAAAAAGCCAGAAGATCATTTGTCATAAGCATTCTCAAACTGCACGCATACGAACCACAGCTCTCTAAACGCAGAGTCTATTCCTGCCATTCTCAACATGGATACTAATCAAAATAATCTGGGAAGTTTCCCAAAGAAGCTTCTGAAGTCTCCAGTTCTCATTTAAACTCAAGGAATTGAAATATTTAGTTTAAAAAACCTCCATACATACAGTATACAACTCTCTCTTAAGAGAGCAAAATTTTGTTAAAGACGAGCATGAAAAATGCTACATCTGTAGGCTTCGAAAACACTACGGAACAGAACCTTTCAAGCATGCACACTAAACACTGTGGTGCTTCGTATTTCTTCTCTTTTGGGGGGAAGAATCCAGGAGCCAGAACAATCCCAACCCACCCTATCATGAAAAACTCCTATCAGTTACAATCTTTTAAGTGTACTTTTTTTAAACAATGAAAGCACCCTCAGGGTTCTTACCAGTATTGACAGTTTCCTGGTCAATCATGCCCCCTTCTGCAAAACCTTCCAAGTCATCCACTTTAACTTTTTCCCATGGTATGTATGTCACTCCAAGGTCCACATCCCAGAACTGTTTGTATTCAGTTTTTACACCCTTGTTTAAAGCCCAAGCAATCTATCAGGAATGAGGAGAGGAAAAAAGAAAGATTATAAATACTGTTCAGACAAGGTAAAACATTCAAAAACATGTAGACAATGTAAATACAAATAAAGCTAGTTTTAAAAACCAGTGGGCGGGTATAGCATCATTGCTGAAACAACAGTAGCCACGAAACATTTCTCAATGTTCTGTTTTTGTTTGTAAATAAAACCTGCACCAGATACCAATGGTGTTCATGAGATTTATTTCCGCTTCTTACTGTCACTTTAAAACACATTTTCAGAAACAAATCCAAATCTACTTTTCACCATAAAGATGTCAAGCTACATTACCGATAACTGGAATAGTTGTTATAACTTAAACTGTTGGTACTCCAGAAAACAGGAAAGGGACCAGCGACAGACACTTTAGTTTATAAAGAGAGACTCTGCCATAAAGTGACAAAGCACAGGCATATTAACTCCCTTGCAAGCAGTTGTGTTCAAGTTTCTAATTCAGCTGCAGACACTGATGGAATAAATTATCTCCAAATAGAAATGAAGTGTAAATTAGTCATAAGAAGTAAAATTGGAAAAATGCATAATAGTTTAAAAACTAAGAGTATAATTCAAATAAACCCTTTACAAGGGCCTGAGTTATATAAGACAAGAAGTTAAGAAGAAGAAATTAATCCTATAATTAAGGGGTATGGTTAGGAAGCATTGAGAACAAGTAAAGACAAACTTATATAAATCTGCGCATAAAATGGTGACCTGTCCACGTGAGATTTAAAAGAACTGCTTGACTAAATCTGGTTATTGTTTTACCCATATCTACTTCTATAACTCAACAATACTAAAATAATAAATTTGTCATAGTTTGCCCAAAACATTAAAAATAAAAGAATTAAATACAGAAACATTCTAATAATCCAATAAAACAAAAGCCATGTTTCCCTCCTCCCCCAGTCTCACCTTAATGACCTTGGACCCAATTTTATACGACCCAGAACTAAGTTTCTGAAGCGCCCGAAATGCATCTTGTCGATGAACCATGCAGACGTAAGCACAGCCCCGGGGAGGAATCATCTATGTAAAAAAAAGTTCACTTTAGAAGGGGTATAAGGAGCACAATTCATTCCAGCATTTTAGGGTTTTAATGGAACAGAACTTTGACTCTTGACAAATACTGAATTGCTTTCCCTTTTCTTCCTCCAGCTATCTGTTTATTGGTTCAATTCATGTGCAACTAATGACTTAGTTTTTAAAAAATCCCCAAATTAAAAATTAGTTGGATCTCATTCTAAGCCATGATGTATATGAAATCTTAAATAATCCCATAAATTTAAAGTTTCTCTGATACACAGTAAAAACTATTTTGAAAAGTATAAAGACATGCATACAATACTACTTAATGAAAGAAAAATAGTATTGTATGGCCAACATATTTGAAAGCATTCAATTTATTCAGTGTTAGGTCAATTTTTTCCAATGTTATGTTGAATAATGTATGAAGAATTTTTGTTTTGGGTAAGTATCTTATCGCTAATACCAAATCCATAATCTACAACAAATGATAAAAATAAAGCTTTTCAATTATATAAAACTTAATTTTATCCAAGTACTTCTGGAAATATATTTTAAAATTAATACCAAAGCAGCCTCAATGTAAGGATCTAAGAGTTTTGTTTACAAAGCATTTAACTATTCAACAGACTATCAGATCACAAAATTATCCTTAATGTATTAATTCAGAAAAAGAGAGGATTTCAATTTCTTTTGAAGAACTCAAAAGGTATTCTATCACTTTATTATAACTCAGTATCTCATAAGCTGTTTGTCAAAATAAAAACCTTTCCCTCAGTCTCACTAGCACTTCAAGCTACTGTCACTTTAATATCAAACCTTTCCAAAGAGAAGTCTACCTAACCCCTACATACTTCAACTCCTATGAGGTATACCCACTCCTTACCAACCCTCTGAAAATATTTTCTTCAAACTCTCTAACGACCTATTAAATGCTAAATCTAATAGTCCTCAAACACCCCTAAAACCAAGTAAAAGATTTCTAAATCTTATTATCAATTTTTCAAATCCAAGATTTTATCACTAGTCATTCGGTATATTTCAATTCACAAAATAACTCAGTACCTATTATTTGTAAGGCCTACGCTTTTATTTTTCCATATATTCTATTATTTATATGCAAAATATAACAGATGTACAAATAATTGTTTTGTCTCTATAATATGCAAAGTCCTACTGTTGACACGGTGGGAAATACAAATAAAAGAAGACAGGGCCCTGACCACCTCCGGGTTCCAGTTGGGAAAGACGAGAGGTACACGGAGAGCTACTGGGTAAGTCCCAACTAGAACCTGATGTGCCAAATGAGGTGTCGAGTCAATGAACCTAGTGGATTCCAGAGGACTAAGGGTCCCCAGCAGCTATGGTGGTCAGGGAAGGGTTCCTAGAAAGCAGACTTTCTTCTGGGTTTGCTCTGCCTGGCATCATGTGGACCTGATATATTTTTTCCATGCACAGCTCACATTTATTATCTCTTCCTTCCGTCTTTCATTTCCTCACTAGCGTCTTGGCCCTTTTTACTTCATTTACAATTCTGCAGCTGAACTGTGTACTTCTCCCGCTCGGGGACAGCTGGTTCCGCCTGTTGTCAGTGGTGCTCTCACTCACAGTGGGGCTGGTTAGCAGACTGGTGGATGCAAGGGCCCTCAGCTACTCAGCTTATCCCAGCTCCATGTGGTCTTGCATCTTCCATAAGACTAGCCCAACTTCATCACATGGTGATTTCAGTACTATGCTTTTAAAAAGTAATAGAACAGGAGGGAGACAAGGGAAACTAATGCCCAAATGACTGATGAAAGAAAGACTGCAAACATCATGAAAGAGCTGAAAATCCAAAATGCCACTTGGATTCACGATCTGGTCAGGGCGGGGGTGCTAGCTTTACAGCACTGTGATCTGATCAGGGGCATCTCTGTTTTCTCACATGTCAACACATTTCTGATATGCAGCGAGGGCTGAGAACCTCTAGTTTGAGGGCAGGGAGCAATCAGAAAAAAACTTCGAAGTTTTATGTTCATGGATCTGAATGACAGTTATGTTTTGACAGGTGAAATTTAAAATACCTACAAGCCCTCTTGATGTGTAGAAAGAGGAATCTGAAATAACTAGTTGAAACACTCAACCCATCAGCTACTTATTAACCAATCACCAATTTTTTACCTGTAACTCAGGCAAATCACCTAGTTTCTTCACTGGTAAATTAAAAGATATTTGAATTACTAACCAAGCATCTTGTGAGACTCCCATTAGATCAAACACAGTTGAAAATAAAATACAAAATGGTCAAATCCAACTCAAATAAAGAATGCTCTTATTAATACAGAGAGGACAAGTTTGGGCATATAAGGAATGTTGGGCATATAACACTAGAAAGGAAAACCAGCTAATTTTCCAGTAAATAATAAATAGACATAGTATAATAACACTAGATACAATAATAGAGTTAGTTAATTTTAAGAGTCCTCAAACAAAGAAATATAAAGCATTTCTTTACTTAGTTTTGGCCCCAGGGAAAAACAACAGCCTTTCAAGAGGAAGAAAATATTCAAAGAAGGATAGTGGGTGGGGCAGAATCACTGAAAGAACTAAATTGAGGAGTGAAAAAGTTAAGCTCCAATGACTGGAGGTGCCCTGGTCACACAGGTCTTCTTGTCCAAGGTTGGATTTCAGAGCAAGAGACAGGGAGGGGGAGGAGGTAGAGGGAGGAGGCTGGCAAATGACTGGGACACCAAGCCCAGCTAAGTCTCCAAACTACCTATGTGCTTATGTGCCCGGGAGCACAATTCTGTGGGCCTCAGTTTCCTCATTTCCTTTTTCTAAAAAAGGAATTAAACTGGATCACACTAGTACCTGCAAGTCAAACACCTGACGTTTTCAGGAATCAAGTGCTACACTGCTATAAATCCCCTAGGAATCTTTGTTAAGAATTCCATTTTAAAAATTAATTAAGCACAGCAATAAATAACAGCAGAATATACACAGAACTAATGAAAGTCGGACAACCCTTGTGAAGATGTGTAAAGGCAGGTACAACTGACTAATTAGGAACTGAAATGACTCCCTGTATGGGTGACAACCCTACTCTTTTTAACTTTATTTTTCAACAACCGATACTTACATTAATGGATTCAATCTGCCCAAACTCTTCAAAAAGGTTGGTTAAGTCCTGCTGCGTCGCCTTCTTGTCCACCTGGCCAACCCAGAGAGTGGTGCTGCACACTGTCAGACATGAGAGACAAATGACCTGAATCACAGACAGTGACTTTTTTCAAGGTGCTAAGGAAAAAGCTCTACTAACAATAACATTAAAATTTAAGACAACATATTTAAAATAGGTGCTAAAGGACATTTCTGTTATATTTAAAAATCAACTAAAATCTTAAGTATCCATTCGTATCTATGCCAAGTCAACCTTTGTCATGACACCTGTTCTCAAGCTGGCTACACAGGTGAATCACCTGGGGGTACCTGGGTCCCACTGTATAAGACGGTGATGGTATGGATATAACAGAGGAGGAGCTGGGAGTTTTAAAATACTATAAGCAATCTGAATGTGCAGCAGTTTCAAAACCACTTTTCACTGCAATCCTGTGTACCTTTTAAGTATTTTTCTGGGCTGGAAAAATTAAGTGACATTTCTCCCTAATCAACAGTTAAATCTCAAATCAGTATCTTATCCTTAAAGAAATAATGTGCATGAAAATATAAACAGTGAAAGACTGAATCAGAACTCCTTAAGTGTTAAAATGAAAGACATGGAAGCCACAAACCATTAATAAACAAATGTCACACGTGAGACCTCTTACCACTTTAGCTATTACTATTCACGCCTCCATAAACATCTCCCTTTCCTGAAGACACTTTAAAAATATTACAGGTAATATAGTTGCAGAGTTTTAATGTACAGTTGACCCTTAAACAACATGGGTTTGAACCCTGCAGGTTCTTATACGTGAATTTTTTTCAATACATAAAGTCAGCCTTCCATGTCCCTAGGTTTTACATCTGAGAATTCAACCAATCGCAAATGGAAAACAGTCTTTTCAATCCCCCATTGGTAACTTGAGGAAATGGGGGCCAACTGTATGCACTGTTATAAGTCACTTTATATAAGGGGCTTAAGCATCCTTGAAGTTTACTATCTCTGAGAGGGTCACAGAAGCCATCTCCCATGGACATTAAGGGATGACTGTAATTAAGTTTCTGGGCAGCCATAAGTTACATGCAGACTTTCAACTACTGGGGTGGGTGGGGTGAGTTGGGGTGGGCTGGGGGGGAGTCAGTGCCCCTAACACCCACAAGAGTCAAACATCAAACATCAAACTGCACTTGAACTTTTATCAGTGTCATTTTTAAAGAATAAGTTTCCAGCTTTTTGATTACCTTTGATCTATAACAGGGCAGGCCTAGAGTAGGTTTTACTCTAGAACAACATTAAAATGTAACTATTATAAGATGTCCATTGAATGTGTATTCAATGAGGTCTCTCTGGCTGGTCAGAACCCAAACAACTTCCACATCTGCATAAAGTTTAGGAATCTTCAGCTAAGAGATCCCAGGTAATGGTTCTTTTCCTACTATTTCTTTGCCTCATGTAGTCTCACTCCACGCACACATAATTTAGTTAACAGTCTCAAGGGAAAAAGTTTTCTTTTGCTACTGTTACAAAATACCAGAAAAGTAGTTTAAAACACACAAAAATGTGTACTTTCACAGTTCTGATGTTCCTAAATAGGGTGAGCTGGCTGCATTCTTCCTGGAGGCACAGGGGGAAATTTGTTTCTTTGCCTTTGCTAACTTCCACAAGCGTCTGCATTCCTTGGGTCATGACCTCCACCTTCACAGCCAACAGTGTAACATCTACCAATCTCTGTCTTTCTCCCTCCACCTTCACATCACCCTTTCTCTCTCTGGCCTTCTTGTTTCCCACTTATAAAGATCTATGTGTTGCACTGAGTCCTCCTGAATAATCCAAGTTAACCTCCCCACATCCTGAGGCTTGTTAACCAGGTCAGCAAAGTCCCTTGTAACATGTACTGTAACATATTTACAAGCTACAGTGATTTAGATGTGGACATCTTTGGGGGACCATTAATCAACTCACCACAATGCTAAGCAAGTTTGTGGACCTCTCTCACCGAAGAGTTCCCACCTCTTCTTCCTCTGTTCTATGCATCACAGCTGCCTTCACTGCCCCGAAATATGTTCCACGTCTCCCATACTCTTTCAATGTTGTCTCTCTACAAATCATTCCCATGGTTAACTTCATTTCTTCCCAGAAAGCAATAATGAGTCTCTCCCATTCCATGAGGAGGGGACACCTGACTCCTGGGATGATACTATTTGAGGGGGTTTCATATACCCAGAATTATTCATAAAAACTCTTGTGTTCTAAGGACTGATGGCAGGGAAACACTACTGCGTATGTTTAAAAGTTTTTATGTGGTTGGGAACCACATGAAATGAATATTGCTTCTCAGTAAGGAGAGTTTTAAGGTAATAAATCAGACAAATGTTTCACCATACTTCATGTGCTGTTTTTTTTATTGTGTTTTATCCATGAAAATAAAACAGCAATAGAAAAATAAACCTCATGGTCAGTAACTACATAAATGGTGGCAGCAACAACATGACATATTAGGTGAGAAACTAAATGAAAGAGACACAATGGAAAAGCCAAGTCCTAAAACTGGAGATTCTGAATGCCTTCATGGTAATCACTGGGAAAGCACCGTAGATTTTATGGTCACACCCTGGGTCCTTCAAGGGGCCCCCACACTGAGAGATAAACAGAAACTTTCAGAGTGAGGAAGAGCACCATTATCAGATTGACACTGGATCTCATAATCAGAAAAGATTCTGGCAAAATCGCCAGAGCTTGCTAAAGTGCCCTAACTTAGCAAGCAGAAGGCTACTTACTGCCTTTAATTAGAAGCCCGAACTTCCAAGATGCTTCACCATTACTATAAGTTATACCAATTATTTATCTATTTCCTTGATAGAATTTGGAGATCTCTGGAAATCAGATAACCTGATCAATGTTTAGCTTTTGGCAAAGAAAAACACTTTGGGCAGAATTTGGCACTAGTTACAACTTACCTTCCTATACATCACATTCCTACTAAGTGAACTCTCCCCCAGCCCTCTCCTAAAATAAACTCCCACTACTATCAAAGTTGTTTTAAGCATATGTTATAGATTAACATATAAAGGAGTGACTCCTTCAATATGGATTCAGTAAGTTTGTAAGTAGCTTTAAAATTTATATGCTTCCTATAATAATTACTCTTGCAGACCTGACAGGTCACCAGTTAGGACATCATGCACAGAAGTCACTATGTCCACATACTAAACACACTCTGCTCTAGGTCCACTTTACGTGTCATTACTCCAGTCTCGTATTTTCTAATTTAACTTGTATTTTTTTTTAAAAAATCAACTCTCACTGATTTTAGTATTTAAGTAGAAACTGCTCCTTTTTCTTTTCTCCCCATCACATTATAAAAACCACGGATAAAATGACTCATTTACCAAACCACTTTTCAAATTCTCAGTCCTAAATAAGACGTAGAGACTGCAGCAGGTAACTAGTTTCCTAGTACCTGCCGACACGCAGTTTCTCTAAGGGCACGTCCGTCACTCACCACTGAGCGTTTTAGACCTGACCGGAGGCAGCCCCTTCTTCTGCCGCTCCTTCTCCCGCTCCCTGGCCCTCCTCTCACTGGAGTACGAGCGTGACGACTTCCTCTTTCTTTCTCGGGAGCGGGAGCGAGATCGCTTTCTGTGTTTCCGCTTTCGAGAACCAGACCGTGACCGAGACCTCCGTTTTCTCGGTGATCTTAAAAAAAAAAAAAAAGACTTTATTACTAATGATGGGTTTTTTTCTATCAAATTTTTACTTTTTTTAAGGGGGGGGGAATGGTCACCTTACATTTATCTACCTCAAAAAAAGATTTAAGTATAATCAAGTATCAAACATGCATTTTTTCAAATCTCTGTCCTGCTAAGGTCCACACAAGCTGTAAGGTGTTTTTTTGGTAACATAATTCCTACTGAGTCTGGATTATTATCCACAACCAAGAGGAACGAAGAATGAGATCCCAGAAAGGGTTCACGTCCTCTTAGTGTCCTCCAACTTATTTTTCAGAGTCAAAAACAGGAATAAAAAAACCAAGAAAATAGAAACATCCTTTAGGAGGTGATAAAATGTCACATTTTTAACGGCAAGAAACAAGAATAGATCCAGCAAAGAATCAGGCCACTATGGAATTCTGTTTACGAGCTTTTGACTTCTGTAAATGACTTCTGTAAAATTTCATGGTGCTTGCCTTTAAAATACAAGGTGAAACTGAAACACTCTCTTTTTTCCTGTCAACCACATGCCACTTAATTCTCTCCAAAATTCTTACTAAGGAGAAAATAAAGAAGGGGCTATGCTGCCACAAAGTTTTCAGCACTAACACTGTGACTGCTTTAGCCAGACAAGTCAGTGACATGAGGTAGAATTACAGAAAGCTGAATTGACAGGATCTCATTTACAAGAGGTAAATACAAATAACATTTTGAAACAAGTAATAAATGACTGAAGAAGTGGTCAAAAATACTGCCTCCTTTTCTAACATTTACTGTAAATAGCTTCAGGGTACCCATGTATAAAACACAGGGCATACAAAGTGTTGAGGACTAATGACTCAGTTTTAAGGTAGTTTGCAGTAAAAACAATGTCTACTACATGCTACACAAAAATTTACCAGGTTAAGACAAAGCATCTTCAGCTCAAATTTGAATGAGCGTATACATTGATGCACCTTAGCCACACTGAAAATCCCACACACAGAAAAAAAAAACATTTGGAGGATGTTATATAATAGTCTGATATTATGCTTACTTTACTGTTCATAAAAATAATTTATGTAGTTTTGCCTTTACGATCATTTTTGGTATTGTTATGAGATGAAGTGGAATGTAAGAAATACAGTAATTTCTAAAACTGTTCCTCTGTACCCTGATTTAACTGTGGTTCAGAGACATTAATATTCTAAAAGGTGGATGTCATGAAAATATTATTAACTACAATCAGGTATACTACAAAATCAAAGTCTCATGATATGGCTGTGATTTATGTATATCACTTGAATAAATGGCCACAGATACATCCAATTAAAAACAGAACTCTTTGTTGTTGTTGTTCTTAGGGAGAGAGAAACATAAGATTGCTGTTCTACTTATTTATGCATTCACTGGTTGACTGTTGTATGTGCCCTGAGTAGGCACCGAACCGGCAACCCTGGCAAACTGGGACAATGCTCTAACCAACCGAGCCGCCGGGCCAGGGCCAACAAAGTATTTTGTTTTTCAAATTCTGCATTATTTTTTTGAGACATGTCCCTCTAAAAAAAACATTTCCTTTAATCTTGGTGCAAAACAATAAAGCCAACATTTTAAAAGTTTACACACAACTATTTTTGAATATTATGTAGAACCTTGAACGAGAGCGTGAATGTGTTCTTGATCTTGAGCGAACAGCCACTTTCTTTGCTTCTTGTTCAAAGACCTCTTCTTCCACTCCCTCTTGCCCTTCATCTATATCCATGTCCTTAAAAGTCAAAAGAACAGCAAACAAACAAAATGGGTGAGACCCAGCACACGGTGACAATTCTGCCTTACAAAATACCCACCGCAGGAGCACTCATGTCTCAGAGTGAAACAGCTGGAGTGCAAAGCTCAGGCTGGGGGACGAACACGTCACCGGTATTTTACACAAATAAAAAATATTCTACCTAAAATAAAAACTACCATCTTCTGTAATACTTTCCTCTAATTGTTTTATGAATTTATGACGCAGAAAAGCATGGACTTTTTACCTGCTGCTGAATGTCTATGGAATCATCCAAATTTGCTTCCGGTTCAAGGAAGTGCTGCTGACTGCTCCCTTGTGACGGTGACGCAGAGTGCTCCGAGCCAAAGGTTCCCTCTTGACTGTCCTGAGGGGTTGCCTTTCGAGAATGTACACATACACAGACATGGGGAAACAGTGAATACCATCACAAAGAAAAACTTAAGCACACAAAAATGACAATCTTTTAAAAGAAGCCCAAGACATGAAGAAACCCCATGCTTACTTTTTTATAATCAATCTAACCCTACTCTTCTGTTTAAATCCAAATTCGCTTAAAGTATGGAATATGATAAAAGGTGAGAACTATAATTTTAGAATAGAATGATAGGATCAAGTAGGTCTTCAAATTTTTAATTGTGGAAAATATAAACTATCAAGAATTAATAAGGGGATTCTATCATCAAAGCTACACAATGGCAGCCTGCACGTGTGGTCAGGGCTACCGTAGAGGACACTAGAAACCCTACTCTTCTCCCTGAGACACTATAAAAACTTCAGACAGCCATACTGAGCTTACTAGTAAATAAAAATGCTTCATTTTTCTACTTATTTCACCATATCTTAAATACAGTAAGGCATTTGATTAGTGGAGCCAAATACACAATTTGTTCAATTTGTTGCTCTGTGGATACACTTCTTCTCAATTCTAAATTTGTTTTAAACACTATCCACTTTATCAATTTAGAAAAGTTGTTTTGCTTCACCACTCCCCTCTCTTCATCATTCATTTTTGAACAACAAAGCTTTTAAGGACATCTAACTCCTTTCAAAGAGGTATTTTCTAAAATTTCAGAGATAATGTATAGAGCAATTAACTAAGCTGAGAGGTTTGGGGGAATGGACTGAGATTCTTAATCTCAAGTTTGTATTAAGTTTCACTTTTCACTTCAGTAAGCTGGTGTTAATTACAAACTGGTCAAGAGTTTTACCTCAATTTTACTGCTTCTACTAAACTTTGTGACATAAAACTGGAACCAAGGCAATTCAAAGTGTCCCTTTCATGAATGAACGAACCTGTCTGGATAAACTCTTCCATCACAACTATTTCTTGCCTCTGTAAAAGCTGTGATTTTTTAATTATATCACAGACAACCTGTTTCTTTTCCTTGAATTAAAATTTGTGTTTTTCTTTAAACATCCAAATGTTCTTCTCTATTTTCAACTTCCTGAATTCTCAGGCAGATCTGTATCTGACATTAATATAGTACCTACTCCAAAAACTTCTAATCAGAATTTTTCTTCAAAATAAGGAATGGAAATCCATTCTCATAATTCCAGGTACACATTCCAGGCTAGCAAATATCATTAATAGTCTTTTTTTTTTTTTTTTACTATTTGCATCAAAAGATCAAGGTCAGACCCGAGCAGCGTCTAAGACCCACTCCCCTTTTGATCTAAAGTAACTCTCCCCCTCCCACAGTTCCAGAGTCCTTCTCTGGTACCTGTTACAGGAACCAGAAGTCTGCCTGTGTTCGCACAGAAACGTGCTCTGTTAGAGAAGACGTTACTTGAGGTCTTGCTTTTCTGTTCACCTCTGTGCATATCATGTCTAACAATGCTTATTTTTAAATGTTTGTGATGTGGCATTAAATTCATTTTCATTGGAAAGTTTTGACTATTAGACAGATTAGATGTTTCATTTCACTGAACTTCAATTTCCTATGGTGTAAAAGGGGTGTCCAAAAGGCCTATCTCGTCAGCATTAAATGTAATCGCAAGTAATAAAGTTCCTGCCACGTGGTAATAGCGTAAGCAAAGGCAGCAGTCTACTCTGTGTTCACTACCATCAACACCAGGAAAATCTTCAGTACCTCGCTTGACAGAGCTAAATGGAGAGGGACTAAGTTGTAGCACTGAAACACCACCTCTGTCTTCTGTTCTCCACTTCCAGTATACCAAAATTAATTTCTACAATATTCTCAGTCAACTCATAAGTTTCTGGAGTACATTTTGATTATAGAAAAAACTGTGAAGACCCTAGAAAGGCTGACCTTCCTAGTAATAGTGAAGGAAAAAAAAATCACCATACTTAAGCCACACTCATTTGTAGAATGTAGACAGCAATACCCCTAAAGACCACAAGATGGAGTTGCAAACCTTTTGAGGCTGTTGCTGTTCCAAGAGCTGCTGCCTGAGATGTTCAAGGTTTTGCTGCTGTAGTTGCTCTGCTATCTGATGAAAAATGGAATTGTTCACAGATTCTGAAACATGAGAACTAAAAGGAAAGACAAGTGGAAATATATTTTAAAACCCAGTAAAGATAATACAAAAATAACTGAGTATTCAAACCCCCAATGCCAAATAAATGAAATATACAGTAATTTTTACTTTTAGAATATTAACAAGAAAATGGAATACTTTAGAAATATGTTAAACCAAAAATACACTCAACAACACTTCAATAGATGACATATTAGAGATACTTTAATGAAGATCTGGTATTATTATCTCACACTATTAAATACAAATAAATTAGTAGTTTTTACAATAAAGTATTTTAAGAAAGGTTCAATAAAGCACTTCTAAAAACAGTGTTTAAACATTGTCACTTTAACTTCTCTATGAAATTGTGGGGAAAATGTTCTATCAGTACATATATAATCTGTAATTATAACTGACAACAAACTTCATAAAATTTTCTTTCTTTAGAAAAGAATTCACATCAGGTATGTTAACAGAAGCAATGTTTAGATAAGAGGAAATAATTTAACTATGCTCTGGGAAATTCGCACCTGGAATTCTGTGTGCCACAAGGTAAAACAAACAAAAAAAGAGGACATCCCAAAAAGAACAATGAGGATAGTGAGAAGTCTTGGAAAAAAGATTATGTCATTTGGAACAAATAAGCCTAAGGGGAAGAATGACATCTATCTTCACAAATTAAGGAGCCACGTTAAAAGATAAGATGCAAAAGATAAGGAGCAAATTTGTTTCCTTGCTTCAGAAAGCAAAACAGATGAGTGTGTAGAAGGCAAATCAAATCAGGATTCACTAATCAAGTAACATACAACAATAACAATTACTTAAATTCTTATAATGAAAGGCATTACCACACTGGATAAATATCCTGTTATGAGGACTGTTAAAGATGATTCTTATATTGTTCAGGAAACTGATACACATAATTTCAAATGCTTCTTCTAACTTCAAATTAATAATCTAAAATATTAGTTTAAAATTTTTCAAGTAGGATCTCTTTATCAAAAGAATATTTGCACTTTATATTCTATAAATAAGTCCTTAAATATATTATCTCAATACAAAAACTAATAACCTATTTGAAATAAGATTCTGAGAGGCTCTCCCCATTCCTTACCCATCTTCCATTCTCCCACCTTCCATACCATCCCCAAGAAAGTTCTGCCCAGTGTTGCTCTCACAAACCCTCAAGGAAACCTAGGGCTCTGAAAAGTTGTTTGGACAAAAAATAACTGATCTGAAGAAAAACATACAATCAATTTCTTTACAGAAACAAAATCCCTACAACCCTAATTCTTACTTCTGATTAGCCTGATACACTCCTGGAATCTGGTATACTTCCCAGCACTAGAAGCAAGTTTCTTTCCTACTATTTCAAATATTCTCACAAAGAGTTAAGTAACTTAAAGGCTAATACAGATGTAGAGAATACCACAACTAGATCAATATTTCTATAAAGCCTTTTGATGTAGTCCAACTATTTGCAAAGATCTGAAAGTCACAAATAATATAGCAAGGCGATGAGAACAAGACAGCAACCCTACTATCATTCTGTAATGTTAGAGCAAATGTTAAAGTACTTATGCTATTCCAAAATAACAGCCTAACTTATTCAAAGTATACCTAGTAGTTTAGAATGCATTGTCCCATCCAATGTTTATAAAAATTATTAAAAAATTATGGTTATAAAGAAAAACATGATACTTACAGTTGAGAAGTTGGAATTTCTTTTTTGGGTTCTTCACTATGTTCAGAGTCTTCCCCAAAATCAAACCTATCCATCAACTTCTAAGGGGGTTAGGGGAGAAAGGAGTGAAAGGAGGAAACAGATTAATAAGTGCTTCTCACAAATACATTACAAATGTTATTTTATTTAAAGGTCGATGACATCCCACTAATTTATCTGCATCATTCAATATGGAAATGTTTCGTATCATTTTATATTTTGCTAGAATAAAACATTTTATTTGAGTGAATCCTTACTTTAAAGTACTTTCACATACACTGCCTTATGTAACAGAACAAATCATGACACAGTATAAAACACTAATATTCTCTAGAAGAGAATATTTGAATTAAAATTAAGTGGCTTGCCAATGGTAATAAAGCTTGATAAAAAAACATCTAGGACTATAATCAATGACCTTTCCCTCATACAGTTTTCTTAGAGTGCTCCGCTATTTTCTAAATGATCAACTTAGAGGATTTTTATGTCATCTAACCATTTGGAGTCAGAATAAATTATACTTGGAAGCTGCTAGCTAAAAAATCTAATAACTCAATAAATCAGTATTTTCCATCAAAAATAACAGTAGCAAAAATAAAAATAATATAAGTAACACCTCCAAGGTATTTTAATATTCCCATAATTAACAAGAATACTGAAAGTATCACACAAACAACTACATATGAAAGGTTTTCAACTTTAAAAACTATATATAATTAAGCCTCAATTTATCGAAGTATTACAGAATACTGATAACTTGTAGAAAAGTTGTTCTTGTTCTTTGACCTTACACTAAACAGTTTGAACAGGTTAGAATTATAGAATACCATAATTAGTATATCTGTAACTACCAAAAAAGAAATTTAAAATTTCAGAAAGTAATAATTTGCCTCAATGGTGAATTCACAATTTTACTGGTTGGTAAATCTTTATTTTTATAAAAACAAAAATATTCTAAATGTTTCAAGCAGAATTATGAAATTACTCAATTTCTTTCAGAAGGTTTAGCCTTTTTGTAAAACTGGTAATATCTTACACAGCACAGTGGATATGTAACTAGTTCTAGGATAACATGCAGTTAGAACCCAGGTGGTAATACACAAACCCCCACAATTCACAGAGAACAGATCTGGTCTCTTCATTCCCACCTTGTTAAAAGACACCCCCTGCTCCAAGGGATTGAGGGTGTTGGCTGCCGCAGCTGCAGCTGTGAGCTGTGCAGTCAGAGCCTGCAGCTGGACGACGAGCCCAGCGTCCAGGGCCTGCAGAATGGACGGCTGAGGCTTCTGCTGTTGTATCTGTAAAGTCTGTATTAACTGCTGAAACTGGAAGGGAAACAAAGGGACACTCAATACAAACAGGGGCTGGGTTTTATCTATGAGAATGCCTATCTAAAACTTCTACTAAATAAAACTCGTTTTAGTCTCTGGAGATCAAAAAAAAATGAACTAACTCAGTAAGTTAATGTTTTCGAAAATAGATTTTCTGAGCAGAGATAGCACATTCCTTATTAAATCTGTCTTGCTTCTGGAAAGTCAGAAAATTTTAAACAAACAAGTGTTCATTCAATGAAAACCAGATAAAGAACTCATCGTAAGAAGAGGGACTTTTTCACTAAGCTCTTCATCCTTTCTTCAATTAACTTCTTAATCTCTGTGAACAGCAGCACTGACCACAACTGCTATCTTTCAGATCTGCCATCTGAAACCTGCCCTTGGAGCAGAGTCCAAAATTAAAGAAACTAAAGGTGAACAGTGCAGCAAGAGTTTAAAGTATCCCCTGTTCCGTCTCTTCACCCACCCTCCTAAAAAAATAGAAGATATTTTAAGTTAGGTAAACCCTGAGTACATCTTAGAACTAATTAATATTTTTCTAATTAAGAACTAAACCAAGTTATAAATCTAAAAAGTTATCAGTTTAGAATAAAAGAAAAAGAAAAATAGCAAAGTTACTGCTAAACAAGACATCTGTGCTCTTTAAGTCAAGTTCAACTTATAGTGGGAGAAGGTAAATACACCACTCAAGATGACACTAAGTAAAATAATTTCATGCCTATCTAAAAAAGCAACATCAAAACACAAAGGAATTGTTTAACTGTAAAATAAACAAAAACTACTAATGTAATGGCAAAGAAAATATTTTTTAAAATTTGATAGTTGAGTTACTGCACTGAGGAAGCTGGCTACATAACAGGATGGAAGGAGAATGAGGAAGGAAGGGAAGGAGGAAAAGGGGGAAAGAACAGGGGGGACAGGAAGGAGGAGAGCAGGAAGAGCCAGAGGGAGGGAGGCCCTCTCTCCGTTATGCACTTTAACTGCCCCTCTGACACCCCCGTTCTCCCCAGCAGCACTGGTATTTTTCCCAGTCACCCAGGTTCGAACCACTGCGGGATCCTGTTTTCTCCACTCTGAACTTCATGTTCTATAAATCATTGTCTTCTTGATCTGTATATACTCCTTCTTCTGGAAAACCCCTTCCCCTGCTGAAGTATTTAGTCTCACACATACTTTTTTAAAAAATGGAAACATCTATGAATTAGTTTCAAAATATCAGTATAATAAAATTAATAATTGAATAACTTCATGTATTATCAATTCATTTTCCCCAGCTATGTGAAAAATGTAGAAATTGCATCAATCTATGACTATAATCAAATTGGTTTTTATATTTTTAAAAGTCTAGAACGGTCCCTTTTTGAGGTTAAATGTCCGTTGAGAGTCCCTAACCCTACAATTGTTCACACAGTCACTACTCCACTGTCATTGTTACTGGAAGATAAGGTACTCCCTGTCTTCAGACCTTCTCTCCTCTGCCAGTCATTGAAGTACTGTTCAGATTCCGTGCATTCAGCGTAAAAAATCTCTGGAGTTCCCCACTACTTAGCATATCCTTTATTTCTCATTCCTTCATTTATGTCTAGTGAACCCAGGCCCCCCCCCCCACCTGAATCCACCATTTCAACTTGGTTTCTAACAACTTACCTACGCAGGCCACCTCATCCTCCAGACAACTCAACCCTAAAATATCTTTTGTATGCCCAATATACATGATTCATTCTACAAAAGAAAATACTGAACACCTGCTATAATCTTGAAACTGGAGACACAGCAACGAACACAACAAACAAAAATCCTTGCCCTTGCACAGCATACACTCCAGTGGGAAGAGACAAAGAATAAACAAAATAAGTAAATTATACAACGTAACAGAAGGTAATAAGTATTAAGGAAAGAAATAAGGCAGGTAATAGTGAAAAGGAGCCTAAGGAAATAAAAGGTAGAATTTGCAGTTTTAAATGACTGTTTGAAGGCCTCACTGAGGTAATACTTAAACAAAACCTCACTTCACAAGAATAAGTGAAAAAAGAGAGTTCAAGAAGTTTTACTGTACAGATCATAATGAATTTGCTTTTGAAAGGACAGGTTAAAAAAGATGCTAAAGATGGACTATTCTCACATCCTGAATTTCAAGTCTGAATTAAAATGCCACTTCCTCAAAAACACTTTCTCTTGGCTACCCTCTAAATTCTGGCCCTTTCCGCCAAACCTAGCTTTTATTAAGATTCACCCTACCCTGGCCAGGTGGCTCAGCCGGTTGGAGCATCATCCCGTACACCAGGAGGATGCAGGCTCAATCCCTAGTCAGGGCACACACCGAGCTTGCAAGTTCAGTCCCCGTTGGGGTGCCTGTTAGAGGCACCTGATCCATGTTTCTCTCTCATCAATGTTTCTCTATCTCCCTCTCTCCTTCCCTCTCTAAAATCAATCAGTATATCCTCAGGTGAGGATTTCAAAAATAAATGTTTTTTAAAGATTTACCCTGTTCTAAGTCATATATTACTATCTACACTTTTCCACTGTCAGTCTTCCCCAAAGATACTCAATAGAAAGATGTCTCCAAGACAGGAGACCTCCCTGTCTCGTTACTGGGGTAACAGTAGCTCCTAACAATGTGTGACGCAAACCACGTGCACTAAGTCAACATCTCAGTATAAAGTTATTTTTTTATAAAACAATCTTTAATGACCAAAGTGTTCATGATGCATTACTAAATGATTAAAACAAGCTACCCAGTATAATGTATAATGTGATACTACTTTTACAAAATAAAAAACACATACTCTTCAGGTGGCACATGATAAAACAATTCATCAGGAAAATGAGTTCTAAATCATCGTCAATGTAACCAAAAAGCTGCTCACCTGCTGGCCTTGAGGACTCTGCAAGATCTGAGCCACCGCTGTAAGCGTGTCTGTATTTGCTATCTGGGACACCCACGGATCAGGCAGACCCTGGACCACGTTGGCTGGAGTAACAGGTGTCACAGGAGTTCCTTTTTCAAAAGACATCACATCCACCCAATAAATATGTAAGTAAAGAAATAACACTTGAAAAGAAAAAACGTGCTCTCCCACTTTAATAAAATCTATACAAATTTATATACATATTTTTCTTTTATTGTCCTCACTTTGAAAACCCATGACAGAATTGGGTAGGGGAAAGTACCCAAAGGATCATCTATGCTTGTCTTCAATGAACTACTTTAAGGGAGGCTACAATGCTTAGCAATTACTAAATCTTACTACAGGAGAAAATTCAATTATGTAAGGAAATATACAAAACACAATCTTCAACGAAAAATTATAAAATAGCATGTATAATATGAAACTACTTTTGTTCAAAAATCTGTGTGTACACACACCAAGAACTAAATACATACCAAAATGTTAACAAATGTAAATCTTGGATGATAAAAAAACTGTAAATGTCAATTAAATAACTCAGGAAACATTCTGAGACTATTACTAAAGCTTTCTTCGCTCCATTAAATAATTTTTTCAGGTTGCTTATAATATTAAGTTTCCCTAGTATACTGTGAATATCAAGTTGATGTGCAGGCCAGTTTAAAAGATTACAGGCAGTTAAATCCAGAAAAACCTAACTGACACAGCAATTTCCCTAACTTTTATCTTTATGTTTCTAGGAACCAAAAGTATTCAGCTCCCTAGTTTTTAGAAACAAATTACACCCAAATATCATTTCTGATTTTATTTCTCCTCCAAATTATTTTCCCTTTCAGTACCTTAAACTCTCCTGCCCGGCCTAGCCTTGACCTTCTACGTGAATAATCAGGCAAAGGCAGGCGTGGACTACCTGGAAAACAGGCTCTACCACAGCGGCATACCTGGGGTGTTGCTCATCGCGGCCGTGGTACTGGCCAGAACCGGGGTGACGACTGGCGGAGGAATCCCTGCTGCCATATCCAAAAGAGGCTGAATAATCTCACTCTTAAATACATTATTCTTCTGCCATAAGTTTAATACTCTTACGATTTTACTCTAGAGGAAAAAAGAAAAATGACATCTTGATTTTTGCTTTCAAACCTTAGCACGGTCACTTTATAGAGACTACTTGGGCAGTCGATGCAAGAATAAATTAAAATAATTTCTACTAGAGTTTCCACCCCTAAAATTATTTCTGTAATTTTGCATTTGGTAACCTTAAAAACAGTTCATTTTGACAGACATACAAGGTAAACGAATGCTACATTTAGCACAAGGCAGGAATGGCGACAAGGCGCCAGCTTCCTGTGAGGTCGAATGGGATCATGGTAATGGCTTGCCGGTCAGCTGTTAGGCTGAGGCAGGTCAGGATTCACTTCACTGCTAAAGTTATAGCTAATTTTAACTTTCTCTTTTCAACAAATAAGTAAAATCAAAACAAATTTTCATTTTAAAACTAAGGACAGGGAGGTTAGTTCCTCAAATAAGAATTCAACCAAATTTATATATTTTTACAACTGTTCAGCATATACAAGTTCTGTAAATAGCTCTAAGTGTTAGTTACTATTGTAACTACTTATTCCATTAGGAAAATAACTTAAATGACAGGCTGAAATTAAGTATTAAAAAGAGACTTCTGTTACATATATTTGTAACAGTAAAAGAAGCAATTTCAAGAACAAACATCCGGTTTGTCTTCAAGCCCCTTATAATAAAGGACTGATGAATGTCAAACTACATTCAAACTACAGTAACATGCAGACTCTTGTGTCTCCAGTGAAGCCCAGAAATTCCACAAAGAATGCTTCGTACCTTCTCAATTGACTGTCCTTTCTATGACGTGAGCACTTAAAAAGTACCTTACAGTGTTTTGCTTTATAGAAAAAAATCTTCCAGTTCCCAAGCCACTCATCCTGTAATTCAAAATTAGCCAGTCTCTGACAAGTATTCTACGCATCTACCTACATACAAACAATGCCTCAAGTTTATGACTGAAAGTACAGTATCAATGTAGTCTCTCCTACTACGGTTTAAAAAACCCTCTATCATATAAACTCTGTAATAAATGAGCAACATTATTATTATGAAGTCTACAAATTCAACACTGATTTCTTCATAGCACATATAGAAATCCAAGTTGGTGAAATTTCTAAATCAAAGTGTTGTACTTAAAAAAATACACATAACATTTTAGATGAGTTATTTTAAGTGGGCTTTTGAGGTATCTATTTTAAGAACCACTTAGTAGAGGTAACTTATAATTAGAAGCATCCTTTTTGCCTGCAAGGAATTATCAAAGTACCAAAGCAAATTTTTAAACAAATTGTCTCAAGAAGCATATCCAAGAATAGTTTACAAAATAATGATATGATAATATCTCCATACAGATTCATTATAACAAGATTTTTTCCTAATTAAAGACTATAATTATTAGCCCTGGCTGGTGAGGCTCAGTAAACTGAGCGTCAGCCTGCGAACCCAGAGGCTGCTGATTCCATTCCTGGTCAGGGCGCATGCCTGGCTTGTAGGTCAGGTCCGGCCCCCAGTGTGGGGCATGGGAAAGGCAACCACACATTGATGTTTCTCTCCCTCTCTTTCTCCTTCACTTGCTCTCTTTCTAAAAATAAATAAATATGTTTTTAAAAAGACTTATTATTAGAAATAAGAACTACCTAGACTTGTACTTTACACAAGGTAAAAGATTTGATGTGGTTAAGCTGTTAAGTTTTGTGGTTCTTCTTTAAAGCAACCATTAATCTTCATCTGTTCTTATCTTTCCTACACAATCTATATTGCAATCAACCCTGCCAGAAGAGCACACTGAATTTCCAAATCACCACCCAAAACCATTCACCTTCTAATATCTCTGATTATACATGAAGGTGCACAGCCCCGTTACTCCCCCGGGGGGCCTAGGCCTTTTCTTTGCCGTGGTAGAGACCGTGGACTCATTCAGGTCTAGCAGACCTAGGAGCCTGGTTTCCAGCTAACAAACTACTGTCACAAAAAATTCTGTCACTCAGTTATTGTCTATTATTTGCTTCACAAACCTGCTTTTCACAGACACTAAACTGGGTAAATTTTTGGTCAAATAATCAAAATGCTGAAATGGTTGTGTGTATGAATAAATTTTTAGTATAATTCTAAAAGCTTATGATAGCAAGTTTCTTTAACACCAATTGTTTCAGTAAGTTAAAAAGTAGCAAAATCAACTACATCTCTCCAGTCTGTTTAAGAAGATTCTAAGGACAAAAAGGAACACAGATAGTGTAGTAACTAAATATTCAAATTTGGAATAAGTAAAAGTAAAGAAAACAAAGTCATAAATTAAGATAATCTAAAGTCTCATTAAGACCAAAAAAGGTAATGTTATCTACTTAAAAAAAAAAAAAAAAAACATACCTTGTCATCCCCAGGACAACGATATAAATTCTGGAAAGTGCTAATGATGTTATTACTAAATCTGGGTGCAAACACATCCTTTTCTTGACCAAACTGATGTCGAGACTGTCGTACGATGGAGTCAATAACATAAAGTCCGGGTACCTTGTATTCTGGTTTACACTGACAGAAAAAAAGAAGTAGGAAGGGAAGGAAATGAGAAGATAAAATTCCTGATAGAAAATCATCATAAATTCTATACAAACACAAAACATGATGAGGTAATGAATATTCAAATATGTACTACTGCACACCATCTCTGTCTAGAATGGTAATTTTAAAGTATCTACTTTAGAATTTACACACTCAATCAACTGCCCATCACCTAAGTTCAAAAACAGGGTTCTGCACTCTTCTGAACAACAATAAACAAAAGGATGAATAGGGTACTGTTGTAATTAAAAATTCTGCTTACAAAAAACTGTACTTGAAAAATAACTAAATAAAATTTTTTAAAAAGTATAGAAATGCAAAAAAAAAAAAAAATTCTGCTTAATGATTTTGCAAAGCCACATGGAAGGAAGAAGCAAACCCAGGAAAGAAGAGCTTTAGAAAAAGCGTTGCCAAGGTGCTTTAGATTTTATTTGAAACATGTAACAGAAGGGTTTCTGTACTAATGTGAGAACAAATACCGAATGGCAAATTTAACATTCTAAATACACGGATCCCGAGGTTTCCATACTTTTCTCAAATACAACACCTGTTAAGACACTTCCATAAAAACACTGTTTTAGCTCCTCCAATGATAAATGTTTCTCACCTTCTTATCCACAATCCCAACTAAACATAAAAGTCTCCTACTTTCTTGTCAGAAGCTTTCCTAGCTTATCTAGTTAGGCGAGCACAATAAAGAAACCTTTTACTAACATGTTACTGCTTTTAGTTTGTCTTCATGTCCAGAAGCATAATAAAACCTGCTTCCCAAACATACTATTGATTAAAATAGAATTATGGCTGCAAAGAGAAGGTTCGACTTTTAGGTCTAACTGGGATTTCAACCCAAGTACTGTAATTTCCCAGAAATTATATATGGCACCAAATCAAAACTGTGTTCTTGAAAAAGTCTTCTTGGAAACTCAAGTACCAATAAGAAAAGGATGTTCATTCTACCCTCTACACACAAACCGTATTTCTAATGGCATATTTAACTGATAAAATAATTTCAATCTGGAAAAAAAGGGTATTTCATATGTTCCTTCAAATGCTTTTTAAGAACCTTCTCTTTAAGATCTTTATTAATCAAGAAAAGGAAGAGACCTTTAGCACCAATTCGCAAGCATCTATTGCAAGAGTCTTGCTGTGTATTTGGATACTAAAATTTCAAGTTTTACCTACATGAAGGTTCAGAAATAACTGCTCTGTTGAAATTTATCATTTTCAAAGTCTGAAATAGTTTGCCCCCAAGTCCCCCCAAATTCTAGCTTATTTGTCCTTTGATTCATGTACCTGGCCAAAGCTATTTTCCCTTGACTACCATGCAGTCAAAGAAATATCTACCTAGTCAGGTAAAAAAATACATCTCAGTAAAGAAAATCCTGAAATGTACTTTCCTCTTCAAGTTCTAGCACTACTGAAAAACACAAGAATTCTTAAGACTTTCCGATGTCAGGAGGTATTTTTTTACTCCTTGAATAATTTTTTTAAAAGCTGTCGTATTAAATTTTGAGCTACACACAACCTTCGAACTACATAGTAATAATTTCCAATTTCTCAGGTTATAAAGAAATAACCCTTCTGGGGGGAGGAAAGCAATAGCAAATTGAGAAAATTCACTTTTAAACCTATTTGTGTGACTTTCATTCTGATATTATCCAAGTTGTTATCTGAATACCATCACGAGTCAGTTTTCTGACAAAAGACCCTCTAGATGAGTTGGACCACATACTTTCAATATATAAACAAGCTTTCTATAGTGACTCTGTTCCCGCCAATTCCAGCTACTAAAAGTCTGTGTTAAAGAAAACAAACCCAGAAAGGCAAAAACAGGGCATGTGGCTGTGACCCCAAAGCACTGGATGACACTGGCGGCAGCAAGTGAGGAAAGAGGCTGTCGCGGGCGGTCACACCTGCTGCCCCGCGAGTTCTCGCGGTTTGTGCTGGAGGAAAATCTTCTCGTGCTTCCTGAAGGGGGTCACTCTGGGATGGCCAGCAGCGGCATTCCGTTCTCCACGAGGTCTGCTCTCTGGACAAACCAGCCCGAGCCTAACCGGCTGGAGTTCAACCACAGCCTAGGTAACACGGGTGGGAGAGTGAGGGGAGAGTAAACGGGCCACTCCAGCCATCCCGTTTCACTGAGGAGGGATTTTAAAAAACTGAAAAGCGCTGTGAAGTTCACAGTCCAGCGGCACAGACTCTCTAAAAAACCCAACTAAGATTATGCTTAGCAGCAGCAAACTAGCAGTTTGCCTGCTCTGGCCAGGGACGGCTACGGTCAAATATGAGCGTCCCTCCCAGCATGCTCTTCAACATGGCACTGGAAATCCTCATGAATGCAACTAACGCATGAATAAAGGGTGTACTGCTCCGGAAGGAAGGTTTAACAAGAATTAAACATATATAATACTCTTAATTGGGCCTACAAGATGATCTTCACTACTGACTTCGAACCACTCTGCACAGTGTCTCTTAAGAAAACAGCATTAAACTCCGTAACTTAAAACTATAAAATAATTGAAAAGAGCAAGTGGATTTTCTTTTGATACACAACTACTCCTATGTCATTTTCAAGACACAGACAATTCAAGTTTTCCAAAAAGTGTGGAACCTCGGAAATCCCACAGGAGCAAATCTATCTCCACACCACCTACGCTGGAAGAGGCGTCCGGGGAATCACTAAGGCCTCCCTGCTCTCACTCACAGAACTTCGGTCACACCAGTAAGGACGAGATGGAAGGTGATGGTGTCCTGTACTGCACAACCACAGGAGAATGCAGATGACAAGCCAAAAAAAGAAGTGTCTGATAATCAAAGCTAAACAATTCCAATTTTTATACACAGCTTAGTGAAACATCTGAGGCTGAACCACATGTGATTATTGAATTTGTGAAAAAAAGTAACAGTAGTTATACAGCAACCTAGTATGTTTTTAGTTTTGGTAATACACTACACGTTTTTCCCTCTGACCACAGAAATTCTATTTGATGCATCCTCTAGAGTCTAAAAAACTTCTTGATAAAAAAGTTTTGATGCTGGTTCCAATTTTAACTCCTTGAGTACAGGAAATACTAGGATAATGTATTTTTTAAGTAACCTTTAACTAAGACTCTGTACTATAATCTACTATTGATTAAATTAAATGTGAATCTACAATTATCTCAAAATATAAAGTTTAACTAAAAATATACATTTACAACCTAAGGTACTATTACAGTACCTCATTGCTGAATCGCTGATTTAAACAGGGGGCTAGAGAAGGAGGGGGACAAACCATTTAAATTCCCCCCCGCCAATGACTAAGGAATGTCACTCCTCTTTGGCCTTCTCTCTAGGGCACAGTCTGCGACAGAAAAGGAAGCTGTACAGGCTTAACTATCTATACAGGCGGTGAAACAGGTGAACAGACTGCACACCTTGTTCACCGCGGCACAGCAGAGCTGTTGCTGAAGCTGAACCCCGTGGCTGCGAAGGATACCGAAATTTTTCTGGATGCCATTTCAAATGCCTTTCAGGCTGCTGGCAAAGTAGATGAAACTGGGAAGCTTAGCATGATAAAAGAATGTGGCAGTATGGACAAAATTAAAGTGCTACAAAACCATGAAAACGAGTGCAAAGCTTCATTAATAATAAATACATTTGACTGAGAAGCATTTCTTGTAGGGGGGTCCAACCCGTGGCCCATGGGCCCCATGCAGCCCAGGACAGCTATGAATGCAGCCCAACACAAAATTGTAAATTTACTTAGAACCTTTTTTTTTGCTCATCAGCTTTTGTTAGCTTTCATGTATTTAATGTGTGGCCCAAGACAACTCTTCTTCTTTTTCCAGTGTGGCCCAGAGACACCAAAAGGTTGGACACCCCCGCTAGAGGAAGAAGAAGATCAAAACGCTGTTCCAGACACTACCTCTCCAAGTTGCATATGACAAGTTCAGGGTGGCCCTCCTAGGACGTCTCTTACACTATGTAGCTGAGGCATAAAGTTTTGTTTGCTGTGTATTACGTTTGGTATAAGTTTTTCTTACCATTTCTCTAAAAACTCTTTTTAAATGTGGGTACAGTTTGTTATTTTAGCACTTTTTGCAAGAAAATTTTACTTGAACAATTCCAAATTATACAATACAAGCTCCTCTCAATAGGTTTCTTAGTTCTCTGTGGAAGTTCATACGTTGCAGTGCCCTATAAATAAAGATTAATAGGACACTATAAATGAAGATTCCACCCCTTCAAAAAAATTTTTTTCAGACATTGACTAGCTTCTTCAGACTGGCTCTATAATTATCTCACAATAATATAACTGTGCTCACCCAAGGTCTCCTAAGATTTTGAAGTACCTAATTAAAAGTACCCTTAACCCAAATCGAATCAGCCAAAACACATTAATCCATAAATTCATATTTACCCTTTAAACCCTTACTACTCACACTGGGGTTTCAGAACTTAAAGCAAAGGCACTGCCTTGGAACAACAGTCCGAAATGCAATCTCGGCCCCTCCCCACTCTAGTGCATCCAAACCTGCATTTTCGTAAAATCCCTACCTAGCTCCTCTGCACAAAAATGTTTAAGCAGCACTGCTCTAGACATTCAGACCTTTTCAAAAAGACTTTTAAAGGCTTTAGAATGATGACATTTTCCAACCACCAACATTTTTATTTTATACTTTGGCTTACCTAACACACACAGCATACTTATTTTTACCCAGTGAATTTTTAGCCTTAATTCACTAATTGTTCATCTCAAAATATGTTTTAATACAGAAATATTTTAAGTATTGAAAAAGCTTTTTAAAGAGAAAAACACCAAACCACACAAAGACTATCTCATTTACTCTAGGTCACCGAGCCAGTCTAGTGACAGGACCCTCACTCTGGCTCACGCACCCTTCCCAGTCCACTTTCACTTAAGAAAGACAATGCGACCTTGCTCAATCTTAACGCCTTATGCCTCTGATGCTGAAAACTGGTTCTGCTTCGAAGTAGGCACGTGAACATGGGAAGAGCAGAAAGTCTAAATTCAATGACAGTAGAGATTTCCTAGGCAACATTCTGTAGCTTTTAAGGCTTATGCACTCCTGCCCCAAACTGGGACCCCAACAGTACACTGACCACAAAGAAGACAAAGAAGTATAATCTTGTCACCTCAGACACGCACAAGATGGCAGCTTTCAACTTTGTCTCCCTCTACTTACCCTGGAAAATGGAACTTCTGGTCTGTATCATAACATGGTAAGGCGTCTAAATAATGTCTTAATGGGTGAGACAAATGCAGCAGCAGAGGAGAAGTGACAGGCAGGTAGTAATTTTATCCCCACCTAATCTAAAAGGAGGCCTGCTCTCTAAGCATTCAGCTTGAAATTACAAAGGAAAATGTCTTTAAAGGCTACAAAAAGCAATGAATTTAAAATGTCAGTAAAAACCAGTCCCACTGCCTGGCCAGGTGACCCGGCTGCAGCACCGTCCCACACACCAGAAGGCTGTGGGCTCCACCCCTCGTCAGAGTGTGTGCAGAAGGCAACCGAGCAACGTTGCTCTTTCACAGAGGTCTCTCCCTCTCTCCCTCTCTCTCTTCCTCTCTAAACATATCTTCAGTAAGGATTTAAAAAAAAGTCATACTGATGGCAATTTTTTCAAGGAACAGATGATCACAATGGCATGCAAATTAACAAAAACATCCGCCTGAAAACTATTGTTTTTAGAATTATCCACAAAGCATTTTCATTTTATTTCTTAACTGGAATATCATTTTTGAACAGTCCATCAAACAATGTCAACTTGAGTATTCAATTTTTTAAAAAGCACAAGGCATTAATCTATAATTATATTTAGCATATATATGGAAAACTGTATACTTACCTTCTGAATGAATTTCTCAACACTCTGTACCACATGTTTATAGAACTGAAAGAAAAAAATTAAGCATGGGGTTAAAATCTGTTTGCTTAGATTAGGATTTTCCTGCTAAACAAAGGAATTAATACAGTTTCCATGACCTATCAAAATAATGAACATTAATCATGAATTCTGAAACAACCATGCACGTCACTCACCTTCACGAGCTATGATGCCTAATGAGCAGAGGGATTCCTAAAAGTACTGTAGGTACGTGGTCAGTATATCCAAAGTGTCCGCATTAACACAGACACACAAGAACTGTCACAGCCTTTGTGAAAGCGCATTTTCACAAACTGCTACAATGATAGCAAAATATCTGTGACAAGCACACTGGCAGATATGTATTATCTTTTGTGGAAGAAAAAGATTTCCTATAATATCATGTTTTCAGCTAAATTAGGGCAGTACTAGAAAAATCAAGTAACTGTTAGTTAACACATGGAATGAATAATGTAAGCAAGGGAGTTGTTTTCAACTGCATTATGTCCTCTGCTCCTCCCAGAAACTGGAACTGCAAGTATACATAATGGGATCTAGAGAAGTATAAAGTTCTAATGGATCAGTCAAAATGAATCAGCAGAGGTGAAGTGAGCACAAAGACTAAAATGCAGTAATGGGTTACTATCACTATGAGCAAACTCAGATTTAAGTTTTAGAACCAACACAATGAATAAACCTGAAAGTAGAAAATAATGGAAATTGTAGATTAAACAAAAAGTATGTAGAATTTCTGCTTAGTAAATTTTAATATCTCAATGCAAATGCATAATTGATGTATTTCTATTTAAAGATCTAATTTGAATTGTCACAAATTTTGCTTTTAAGGGATATGCCCTTAAGCTGAAGAACATTCAGTTAAACTGCATCATAAAATTCAATATTTATAAACTAAAAAATAAAGGAGTATTACTCATACTCAATAAATCAAGATCTACAATAGGTTTAAGCTTGGCTAAAATTTCCTTACTAGAATAGTTTATGCAGCAGTTTAAGTTAAGTCAAAAACTAAAACAACCACTTAAAAGTTATTAGGCCCTTACAGGTACTTAAAAATTTTAAATCAATATCCGTAATATTAAATAATTACTCACCAAGTGCTATTTATTAAGTAATAATTCTTCTGGAAATCTTCTTAGCAGTGAGTGCTTCTTGAGTCTAGTGACTTTATGTACTATATGTAATTACTAAACTTTTACTTACTTTAGTAAGTAAAACTACTTACTAAACTTTAATTGAAAGATATTAATTCACAGTCTTTCTTTCTTCCATATTATCCAGGTTTTGCTGACAGTGTTCCATGATAACAAGCACCCATGAAAATAATCCTCTAAACACCGATTATACCCTACCTCAATATAAAACACAATCGTTAAGTATGATTTAAAAGCGGTTCAAGCCTCAATTTATGTATGTACTAAACGCAGTTTTTTAAAAATAACACGAGGAGGAACCAAAACACGAGACATATCTTATGGAGGACGGGTCGCTCGTAGTACAGGCTTCCTCTGCCAGGTGAGTGTTCAGGGAACCCATCTGGATCAGACCACCAGCTGTCACTGTGAGAGGCTGTGTTCAGCCTCAGCGAACACATTGGCCCATTTCATGATGGGAGATTTACAAGCACACCTGCCCACACATGCTAAATATTTAGCAGTTTGACCAAGAACAGCATGACCCCATGCCCAACCCTCCTATTCACCCAATCTTGCCCAAGCAACTCTTTTTTTGTTTCCCCGGATGATAAAAATTCTCCAAGGGACATATTTTGCAGATGTGGAAGAGGTGAAACAAAAAAACAGCAGAAGCACTAAAAGGCATCAAAATCGAGGAGTTCAAAAACTGGTTCGAGCAGTGGAAATAATGTCCTGATAGGTACATTGCATCAAATGGAGAGTACTTTGAAGGTGACTGAAGCTTAAACACGTAAGAATAAATATACAAAATTTATAAATGAACTCCAGGGCTTTGGGAGTGTCCCTTTCATACAGTACTGAAGTCCTGGCCAGCGTGGTTCAGTTGGCTGGAGCACTACTGTCTTGTAAACTGAAGGGTCACGGGTTTGATTCCTGATCAGGGCGCAGGCCTAGGTTGACAGATCGGATGCTTGGCCCGGACACGTAAGAGAGGGAACCGGTCAATGTTTCTTTCTCACATCGATGTTTCTCTCCCTCTCTTTCCTTCCCCTCTCTCTAAAATCAATAATCATGTCTTCAAGTAAGGATGAAATAAAAAATTAAATCAAGTGTTTAAAATAAGATAATACAGTACTGCAAACACAGTCTGACCTCTTCAAAAACAGGAACAACAAAACAGAAAGGGTGGGTGACAGGACAAATAACGTAGTATGTGAGCTTGCCTGAATCCTGACAAAGCAGGAGTGCAGGGGACAGCTATTAACATCAATACTGAGGCAAATGGTAAATATGTAAGTGTGGATGGCACATTAGATAAAAGTACATCAAAGTGAAATTTCTTGCATGGGATCAATGTTATGATTAGTTAGGAAATGTCTCTGTTTTTAGGAAATTCAAATCTAAGTATTTAAACTATGATTATAAATTAAACATGAAACTCAAATGATTCAATGAAAAAAGTACATGTGTGTAGAAATACTCTACAAAGCTGAATTTTTCAAAATTAAAAAATTTTTAAATGGTTAACAATAAAACAAAATACAGTGTATCATAATATTTAGACTCTTGAATGAGAGAAACCTAGCTGTATTATTCTAACTATTGCAAATTACTTCATTTCTCTTAGGCCTTCCAATAATAAAAAAAAATGGAAATAATGTTATTTAAATAACTATGCTTTACAAAGTTTTCTAATTTAAAAATAGTCTTCTGCTCAACAAAAATTATGTAAAATACACCAATTACTAATGTTCACAGAATAAAAATACTAACATACAGGTCTACACACTCTTGGGATCATGACCCTAAGAACCGGATCACAGTGTGGAACAGCACAGATAAAGAGACTAAACACTCTGTACCAAGCCTATTAGTATGCGCTCTGAAAAATCACTTGGAAGAATTCTCGGGCTTAAATGTGTTCACTGGTGACTGTCCTTGTCTCTTCTTTGATTTTCTGCATAGAAATACAGGAATATTAACTACAGTGCTTTAAGATAATGACTACAGAGCATAGTCTGAAAACTAAGATTTAACCGCTGGAACACTGCAAAATCATCTAATTATATAAATCTTCTCTAGTGGCAATTCTCTGCAAATAGGAACTCATTAAATTTAATAGATACTGCTGTTCACTCAGAAACAATTTATGAAAATAACAAGTGCTTCAGGTTCTGGCCGATGTCCTTATTCAGAGTAGGAGAACATCACCAAACATCCATGGTCAACACCTACATACTTAAAAAGAAGCACTGGTTCCTAATTTTAACAGCCCAGGGAGTCTTAGCTTTGGGGACAGGACCCCCTTGGACAGATGTCTATGGCTAAGCATAAAAGGTCCTTAAAGCCAAGAAATTTTGTGCATTTGTATCCTTCTCTGAAGAGTGTCCGGACTTTTCCTGAGATTGCCACTAGTATCCCTGAATCAGCGTGTGTTCGAGACCACTGTAGCAGAGCAACAGTTCAATGTCTGGAGCCTCTTACCACAGTTCAAATGTCCCAGTTACATGAGGCTCAACATGAGGTTTCCATAATGGCCCATTTTAAAATCTACAATATAATCAGTGAGAAAAAAAATCATTAAAAACTTTTATTTAGAAAACTTTTACTAATAGAAAAATTTTACTCAATTCAAGATTTTAAGATTCTGTAAAGTCAGTGTGCCAAATAGCAGTGTTAATAAACACCTTCTCCAAAATGTGGCTTTATCTAAAATCTTACCTGCCTGAGAAAAGTAAGGGAAAATGATTGCCTCAAAGTTTATGGAAGAAAGTTTGTCAAATGTTAAGTGTTTATCTTTAGGTGGGAGAGCTCGTAGTAACAGATTTTTATTTTTGTGTTCCCCCCCATGAACATGTATTAACTCTAAAGACGAAGAGCACATACCATCTGTAACAATTACCCAACTCTAAAACATCAGAATAATTTAATTTTTAAAAACAAGAATAAAATTTATTACTCACCTTAATAGCTTTGATGGCTGCCTTCGTAATTTGGGTCATTTTTGCTTTAGAAATTGGTGGTTTGTAGTCATTCAGGGAATATAACTAATGGGGGGAAAAAAACCCAAATTTTAAATTCAGCAATGTTAATTGCCTCAAAGCAATTACATGAAATTACCAAATATTTCCAATATTATACTCTCAATGAAATCAAAGTGCTGTCTTTCTTTTAAAAGTCAAGTTCAATATTATTAGCCACCACGGAAATGCAAGTCAGAACTACATCGTATCAGTCACACTTGCTTATAGTTGAAAAATAGTGTTATTAGGAATGTGGAGAAAGGGGAACCCTTCTACATTGCCAGTGAGAATGCAAAATGGTACGGCAACATTGGAAAACAGTTCGGCAGTTACTAAGAAGTAAAACAGTAATACATAACATGGCCCCGCAATTCTACGACCAAGCATATAATACCCAAGGGAGCTATAAATACATGTTCACATAAAAACATGTACACAAATGATCACTGAAACATTATTTATTAAAAACTCATTTAAAAAGTGAAAACCACCCAAATGTCCATCGACTGATCAAAACTGAGTGTTATCCCCATTCAATGAAATTATTAGTCATGAAAAAGAAATGAAGTAGTTAATACATGCAACAAAATAGAGGAATCTCAAAAATACTATGCTCAGTTTTAAGGAAAAAGCCATATTTTTAAAAATGTTAGAGGGTTACACTTACGAGAAATGTCTAGAAAAAACAAATCAACTGGTGACTGTCGACAGCTGAGGGTGGGGAATGGTGGGTGGGGAGAAAGGAGCAGTAGTAATAAGAACTGCATTTCTTTCTGAGGGTAACAAATAATATTCTAAAATTGAATGTGGTGATGGTTATGCAAGGGTACTAAAAACCACTGAATTATATACTTTAAATTGGTTCATTATATGGTATGTGAATTACATCTCAATAAAACTATTTAGAAATCAAAGGATATAATATTTACCAATAATCTCCCCACCAAAAATTTTGTTTTAAAATTTCTCATATGAGCAAAGGATACTACTGCTCACAGAGAAAACAAAGAAAAGGTGGGGGATTGGGAAACAGAAATAACTAAGCTTAAATAAATACTGCTTAAAATTTGCAATGTACTCAGTGATGCCCAAATTTGAAATAATGCTGTAAGATACTATGTACATGTCAGGAAGCTAAGCTTTGGCCATTACGACACTGCAAAAACAACTTGTACAGACAATAAAAGCAATGTACACCAAATCTGTTGGTTAATCAACCAGAATTTGGAGGCTTTCTGTATAGCCTTTGTTCCAGCACCTCTTATAACCTATCCTTCAGTGAATTCTATTAATTTTTATCCACTTTGCTTCATATTTGTCTCCTCCCCTCCTCCATGACCACAACCACAGTCCAAATCACCTTCTTCCTCACCCAGAGGATACCTAAATGGATGTGGAGTGTCTATCTTTACAAAAACTAATCTAAGTGGGTAACACCACCCACTCTCTGTACCCCTTAAAAAGGTCAATGACCTCCCATTCTTTGCAGAAACCCACAAATCTACATATACAAGGCCCTGCTGACCTAACTCCTGCCTGCCTTTCCAGTTTCACAGTCCTTTCCCCAACTCGAGCTTTACCAGTTCCCTAACACAAGACCTTTAAAAAGTGTTTGTTCTCTACCTGGACCACCACCCACCAGGGCCTCCTCAGTAGCTAAAGCATACTGGTCCATCTCAGTTAAAGCATCACCTAGTGAGGAAAGCCTTCCTAGCCTCCCCAACCAAATCAAAACCTCCTTGTAATGCTTTCATTCAACTGTTACCTTCAAAGCATTCACTGCAGTAATTTACGTATGTGATGATTTAGTGACTGAGTATTAATAAAAGACAAAGGATGTAAGTTCCTTAATGCAGTTTAAGTTAACAAGAGGTTAACTCTACACCGAGAGCTATCCAAGCTGAAATCAATCCTGGTACAGTATACAAACATCCTTCCCTTTAAGTGTCCATAAAGTGTCCACCTGTTGAATAATGCCCAACCAGGGTTAGGATCTCATCGGATCCTTTAAGAAGCTACCTTTGTCAAACTCACAGGGAATTTTAATATACCTAGAGTCTCAATTCCTACTCCCATGCCAGTCTACTCACCAGGTACAAAAATAAAGCAAAGAATTTCTTAGTCCCAGGCTGCCACCCACCTGAGATCCACTCCTGCCCTCTTCTACTAGAGCAGGGGTGTCAAACTCATTTTCACTGGGGGCCAGAGCAGCCTCATGGTTGTCTTCAAAGGGCTGAATGTAATTTTAGGACTGTACAAATGTAACTACTCCTTAACAGTTAAGTGAGAGCTCGGCACTGCCACCGGGTAGAAACAAGGTGCCAGGACTGATAAAACAAGGTGGAGAGACCGGATTTGGCCCACGGGCCTTGTGTCTGCCATCTGTGTACTAGAGAAAAAGTTCTAAAAATAAAACCTTGACTCTGTTTAGATTTTTTCCTTTGCTCCACACTTTATTCTCTGTGTACAGTAGAGAACAGATATTAAGAATAAGTTAAAATGAACAAATGCATACAAGATGCAGCATTGTGCAAGCTTTACAGTAGGACCTGCATTTGAATTCCAACTAAGTCATCTCGTTACAAGTTGCTAAAGCCCTGAAGCTTAGTATTCTCATCTACAAAATAAAAATAATACTGATTTCACAAAAACATTACATATAAACCTTTTTTTCAGAACACAATAAAGTAGCTCAAAACTGTTAGCCATTGTTAAAGTTAAAATCCTTCTCGTTGGTAGGTATTCTCCATTTAAATGAATGATATTAAAGGATGGATCAGCCCTGGCTGGTGTAGCTCAGTGGATTGAGCGCGGGCCTGGGAATCAGAGTATTGCGGTTCGATTCCCAGTCAGGGCACATGCCTGGGTTGCAGGCCAGTTCCCAGCAGGGGACTCATGAGAGGCAACCACACATTGATGTTTCTCTCCCACTCTTTCTCCTTCCCTTCCCCTCTCTCTAAAAATAAATAAATAAAATATTTAAAGGATGGATCAAACATTTCTTCACACAGCTACCTGAAGGTCCTCTCTATAGTAACTCATATTACTAGGACAAGGAAGATGTATCAAGTTCTTCCTATGGTTGACAATACATGATTTCTCATTTTTCTGTAGCAAGCCTTGAAGTGTCAATCAAGCATTAGTTCATACACTAGCAGACCAAAGCTTTGCCTGCTTTCCTTTTTTGGGGGGAGGGAGAGTAGAGGGGCAGCCAGGGGAGAAGGGAAGATTGTGGGGAGTGATGAGGTAGGGAAAATATAATTTAGACTTGTCAAATATTTTCAACAGTCTGAAATGTCAGCTCTCATCTGAGAACCCCTTTCAAAAATGCATCTATGGTAGAAACTTAAGGTCCTACTCAGAGAAATACTGAGTGACTCAGCACTTTTCAAAGGATCATTTCATATACTGCTTCCATGATTTCTCTAGACTCTCTGAAGTATCATGTCTTTGTTAAATTTGATCATCAGGATACAGGCATAGATGATGTCATCTAATTCCTTGCCAAATGCCTGAACTAAAATTTAATGTTAAGTTCTTAACTTATAAAGACTGACTTTTAAAAAATGATTTTACCAACCTGTTAATTATCTCTACCCAAAAAAGTCCCTTATCCAAGAATTCACAAAATATATTTTCCTTAAATTCAGAAACAGAAGAATGACTAAGCTAATTCCCATGTGTCTATTTTTTATTGAAAAGTAATGATGTAATGTGTTCCCCTTCTTGTGCACTGGCTTCTCGGGACCTTGCTGATGTTTACTAGTATAAATATATATCTCAGATCGCTACTAATATCTACTTCTCTAACACAGTTAAGTAGCTGTGTTGTATGCAAAAGTAAAATCTATGTTCGACTATGACTTGTACCTTACTAGGATGCCTCCAAGCTCTTTTTGAAGTAGGTGGAGTATAAATTTACATATCTAATGAACTAGTATGAGCCCAGCACGTGACATCAGAGAGAGCTTGTCATCATCCAGTTCTCCTTCTATCCTATTTCCATGTCCAAATTGAAGTTTCTATATATTCCACTGCTGCTCAACCCTTAGCATCAAACTCAAATCATCTAGGACCTCCATCAAAGGCTATTTGCTGAGAATTTTTATGAATGTCACTATAACATTCAGTATTTTGGAAAAAGACTAAAGAGAGGAAATATGCTTCTAGCCCATTTAAAGCTTTTAAAAACTTCTGTAATGATACGATGTAAAGACACATGACCTTATTATGTTTAATCAGATCATGACACGATGTCTGAGAGCCAGTGTTCAATAATAAACCATTATTATCCAGCTCATAACTTATTAGCACTGCAATGGCATTGCCATCAGGAAGTACCAACGCTTCATTCCAATCTTCATGCTAGTCAAATGTATCAATCTGCCACCTGAAACGGGGAACGTAATTCTCTCTGTATCCTTAAAATTCGATCTGGGATAGAGAACACACCATGGTTTTACACTGGAAAATGCTGGAGAAGACGAATAGTTGACTCGGGGACCTTCCTTTTCCTTTCTCTGATGACTCTCATCTCTACGCTTGAGTGAGAAGACCGCGGCTGCTCGCTCTCAAGGCTTGGGCTTTCTGCATACTCAGTTTTCTCTTGTATAAGTTTTAATCCCTCCTTCTACTGGTATTTCTTGGAGTCTGAATCCCTGCTACCATGTTTTCCAGAGTCTAAAGTGGCTGCTGACCCAGCTAGTTTTTTCCGTCAAATTATTCCCTCAATTAAGACTATTTTAATTTCACTAGGGCTTTTGATGCCTGCTATGACTACACTCTACTTCCTAAGTCCAAGTTTTTCCCCCTCATACCATGTGAACAAATCTTTACTTATAAAAACACATACAGCTGACCCCAGCGATCAAAATAAAGTCCCAGTCTTGACCTGCCCATTCCTTTGGCTACTCAAGACCTACCAATTTAAAGGAAAAACAGTAATCAACAGCCTGAGTTTTCAGCCTAATTAATCCATTCTTTATGTTTTAACTTCCCAAAGATACACTGAAAAGTGCTCTTTG